ATGACTGACCTGAAAGTTTTTAGTTATCCCTATCTTTGATCGATAAATATTCCATAATTACTTTTACTCTTGGACATGATTTTGATTTTGATTTTGATTTTTTTATTAAAAAATATTACTCGAGAAACGGCTTCTGTAATATAATGACTGACATTAGAAACAAAATATCAAGACACCAAAAAACGTGAAAACTTCATCAAAGATCTGTTTTTTAGTGTGACGTCCGATATTTTGATTATAATCAATAGATTGTAACGTCTAGCTAAGTGACTACGGAACAAAACAAACAAACAAACACAAGCATCATATTTTTAGTTAAACCAATGATTTCCTGAATGATTTTCTAAGGGTAAAAACATCATGACTGATCATGAAATAAAAATAAATGGTAAGATAAACTGGAAACATTTGTTTCCTAGATATAGTAGATAGTAGATACTCTATTAGGCTAATTGTTAAGAGGCATGAGAAATTGCAAAGTATCGTCGCTCTGTATGTTACAAACTGATGTGCTGGGCCTGATTGAAGATATCAATAATGGGCTTGGATGAATGATTTTAAAGTACCCAATTAACTTATGGTAACAAATATTATATACGCATATGCTAATAATTATTATTAAAAGCTAAATTGCAATAATTAAAGAGGAAGGTAGAAAATATCGTTGACAACTGACAAACCCGAAAAAAAACAGTCTTCACTTTGAGTTGAAGGTTTTGTTCAACAATATTCATAGTCCTACATTCCTACTGAAGCTTTTTCTTTTTCACTATAGATATCCGTGTAATAATGATTTAGCAACATGAGTATGAGGTATAATAGAAAGGTAAGAAATAGGATAGGGCTTAACAAAAGCAATCTGTAACAAAGAAAAAAGAAAAGATTACTACCGCATATTCCATTTTAGTAAGGTTTTGTATTGAATTTTTTGTATCTTCAGTTAAAGCGAAATCAGTATTATGATTTCGTTAATTATTCGGGGACTAATATAAGAGCATGCATAGCAAGAATAGGAGAAGAAGAATGTGGGAATAAATACAAAAGAAAATGATAGAGAGAGAGAGAAGTAAAGCAAAAAAATATATATAGGTAGAAGTAGAAGAAGACTAGAGGAGAAGCTAATAGGTACACCAAACTCTCCAATCCAAAGGAAGAATCCAAAGAAGAAGCTTTGGCCTTATAAGAGAGAATCCAATGGGTTATAATATATAATTTGGACTCATCGTCACTAAGTCAGTCATGTAATTAAAGAATACATAGACATCTATATATATATATACACATATGGACAAATTTATATGAAAACTATTTTCTTCTATATTTTAATTTCCCGGCCTTATCATTTGGTCGTCGATTCATACTGTTTTATGTAAATAGTTTTGTTTCTACACCACACTTTTAAATATAGTAAATAAACTAAATTTATATATTGCTTTTATCAAATTGAATATTTTTAAGTTATACATAGAGCCTTTATCAATAGTTTCTTTTTTAATTTCTTATATTTTGTATGAATATGGACTTTAATTTTGGCATTTATATATACACTGTTTGGTCTCGATATTTGACTTAAGGTCGCACATGCAAACCTCATTATTTTCTTCCATAATGTTGACAATTAAGTAAACCAAAGTATACTGCCGAAGAAAAACGATGAAAATAAAATTAAACATTAAACAAATGTTTTCAACGTAAAACATGATAACAAGATAATCTTTCATTATGAATTGAAAAATAAAACCTTTTTGAATTCCGAAGTAAAGTTCGCCTATATTGCCGTAAGCGTCGTCTTTTATGTAAAACCACTCAACCAGCACTATCTTAGAGTTTACATAAACGATAACAGTAGAATTCAGAAATGGGCTTGGTTTTATATGATCAATTTGAAACCATGCCTAGTTGTTGGTTCATCCTAGTTTTACGCAAGGCACTGGCATGTATATAATTGTGAAATAAGAGCATATTTGGTTGACAAAGGTTAATAATAATAATGATGTGTCTTCTAATGATAGAAGCTCTACAAATAAATACTATATGTTATGTAAGTAGAAAGAGTTAAAATCACACACGTTCCGACAAACACTAGGGATCGGACTAGAATACGGCATGAGTCATGACCACGTAATATGTATTATGTGTGTTTATTCTTTATTTTTGCAAGTTTTTTTTTTGAAATTTTTTTTTTTTTTTATCTTCTCACTTCTGTGCCATTGTAATCTCCACCAAGTTAATATATAACAGAGACATTGGATACAACAAACAACAATGTAACATTCTTTATAGATCAATTTTTGCAAGTTTTGGTCCCTGGTTTACTATGAAGATCAATTACATTGGTTTTGTTTTTGGTTGGATGGCAATTAAATGAGGCAGATTCAGAAGCATAGTATTAAAAAATCTAAGTGCCCGTGGAACATGGGCGGCGGACACCGACCACCTACAATATCTACTGTTCAAACGACACGTGTGAGAACTGTTTGCTCTCCCTAACTTCATTTTTTCTTTTTTTTTCTTTTTATATGGTCGCCGCTCCTTAACCTTAACTTATAACTAAGTCCTGACTGGCCCAGACAAATTTTATATTTTTAAGTTCGCTCTATCATATGGTTTGTGTTTCTTAATTACTATGATCAAAGACGGTGAAGCTAATATACTCTCTATAGAATAAATAATTAGGGAAAGTTATATATAATCTGGGGGATCGATGTGTCAGAAAAGTTAGATCGCAACCTCAAATTTATCAATCAACGGGAATGTCAGTTAATCGGTCAGGAAAAGATGAAATTAAAAAGGTGTCTTCTTTTATCTTCCCACACACAATTGCTCTTCTATCGCATTTAAAAATACCATTTTGACTGTTGACCAACAAATACAACACGAATTGGAACTACAAAAGGCATAATCTATCTTTACCAAGGTTTTGTACTAGTATTGCCATGCCTTAATCCAAACTACTCCAAAATGTTTAACATTCATTACTATTCTATGTTTAGTTTGATAAAAAAAAAAAAAAAATCCATCCAACATTCAGTTCCTTGAAAATTACTAACCAACCAAGGACTATAAAATCAATATATATGTATATATCCAATTATGGAAGTAGCCGTTTAACCTAGCTATTATAATAACCGTATAATTTTCCAAACGGTCAAATTAGAAAATAGAAACTATATATAACCGTTGGTTAAATAGTTTCCTTAATCACCCTATGATTGTCAAATTTTGTTCGAATCATTACCGTTTCTTATTATTATTATTTCTTTGTAGTATATTATAGGGGCAATAGTAAACTATATACTATAATTTAAAATGGGAACAAAAAAATTAAGTTTTTTCTTTTGTCTTTTTCTGCCTTTACCTTTCCTTCTACTCCCAAAAAAGCACTGACTTTGCTCTGTTTCCTTCATTCACACAGAGAAAAGAGAAAGAAAAAAAAAGAAAAAGAGAGAAATCTTCTGAGCAAAATTCTGACAAAAGAGATGATGGAATGGGATAATCAGCAACAACCCAATAACCATCACTCTTCTAATCTTCAAGGGATCGATGCTAACGGCGGCTCAGGCGCCGGGGGAGGAATGTACGTGAAGGTGATGACCGATGAGCAGTATGAAACTCTCAGGAAACAGATTGCTATTTACGGCACTATTTGTGAGCGTCTTGTTGAGATGCACAAAACCCTCACTGCTCAACAAGATCTTGCAGGTCTCTCTTTCTTCAATTCTTCTTCCATTTTGTTTCTTCTCTGTTCACAAAACAAAAGAAGGTTTGTTTTGTAATTTTTTTGTGAAAATTCAGAATTTTTCTGTGTTTTGGTTGATCTAAGTGAATCTTCTTCTCTTTTAATTGAAACTTATCTGCCTTTTATTCATTTCTTGGGTTCAATCTGATTCAAAGATCATACCTTTCCTGGATTTTTGAGTTATGAGTAAGAGTTCTTGGGGAGTTCTAGAATCGATTTAAGAGTTCAGCTTCTGTTATATATCTTGAATCACTTCAATTGAGCTTTGAGAATTTCCCACCAAAAAAGTATGTTTCTGATTGATGCTTTGTTCTTAAGACATATAAAGTTTCAGTTTTTATATAATAGTTTTAACTTCAACAACTCTGCTTCAATTGTCTGTTGGTGTTGAATAGGAGGGAGATTGGGAGGTCTATATGCAGACCCAATGATGTCATCTATAGGTCACAAGATGACTGCTAGACAGAGGTGGACTCCTACTCCCGTTCAGCTTCAGATTCTTGAGCGTATATTCGATCAAGGCACGGGCACACCGAGCAAGCAGAAGATCAAAGACATAACCGAAGAGCTGAGCCAACACGGCCAGATTGCTGAGCAAAATGTCTACAACTGGTTCCAGAACCGGCGTGCCCGTTCCAAGAGGAAGCAGCATGGTGGTGGTTCTTCTGGCAACAACAATGGGGAGTCTGAGGTTGAGACAGAAGTTGAGGCACTGAATGAGAAGAGAGTAAGACCAGAGACTCTTCTTGGTCTTCCTGATGGCAATAGCAACAATAATGGCATGGGCACAGCAACGACAACAACTACTCCTAGGCCTGAAGATCTTTGCTTTCAGAGCCCTGAGATGAGCTCAGACCTTCACTTGCTAGGAGTTCTATCAAATCCAAGTGAGTAACAAAACCAGATATTGGCTTTATAGAAATGGTGAACAAAGCCTGTGACTTATGTCTGTACCAAAATCAAATTATTTATGTCTTGTGATTTGTGTTTGCAGGGGATGATCATCTTGTGGGAAAGATGGGATTATCTGAAAGCTACAATCTTTACGATCATGTTGACGACTATGGCATGTCAGGCTGATTAATACAAGCTAAGGAAACTTCTAATTATCAGAGAGATCAATGAAATGGATTTCGTAGTCAGTCATAAGCAGTTGTAGACTTTTGTTTTTTCTGGTTTTATTTTTATTTTAATGGTTTTCTCTAGTTTATCTTATTAATCATCTTCATAGACACATTTACATGAAATGTTCTTGTGAGGCTTTGCTTTGATAATTCCTGCATTCAGAAACATTCGTATATCCTTTAATTATACTTTAAAAAATAATGAAAAAATGATTCAGCGCGTACAGTTTCTTTTCTCCACCGCAAGTTCCAATCCCAAGAGAAACATTTCAATTCAAACCTCTCCAGAGTTGAAAACATGCAACTCTAGCAAAGTTTTGTAGTGACCCTTCTCGATTTCTTCCTCATTCACATTGTGTAAGACCAGAGTCTGGATAATCAAATCCTCCCAATCAATTTCAGTTCCTTTCTTCCTTTTCTTCTTGCTGTGTTCAAGCTCCAAAGACAACGCTGCACCTTCACTAACTATGTCAGAAGGATTCCTTATGGCATTAATCCGTAGCTTAGCTGCCTTAATCTTTTCACTTCGTCTTTTGACTGCAACACAACCTTTTATGTAAGAAGGAGGAAAAGCATCAAGCCCTACATCTTTCTCCAACACTTCCTTGAGCAGAAGCCTTTGACTCATTTCCGATTTCCCTTTCCACCAATCTTCACGCGAAACCATCTGAAAAAATGATTCCCTTTCACGCATACTATTTTTCTTTTCCTGACTTATTTTCCCAAGAGTGCCACCCCCAACTCCATCCACAAATTCTTTATACATTGTAGACAATTGTTTCACTGATATTTTATCACCATTATTACATGAAGTTAGCTGATTTTCACCTCCTACACTAGAACACCGAGACATAGTAGGCAACTGTTTCACTGATAGATGATCATCGTTACTACATAAACGTAGCTGAGGTTCGCCTCCTACATCAAAATACCGAGACATAGCATCTTGGTGATCATCATCATCATTATCATCATTATTATAACAGTACACAGATTTTTTGCTTAGGCAGTCCCTCACTATATCTTCTAAACAAAATCCATCAGTTCCAACTAATTTATCCCCTGTCCCTCGTTTTCTCTTTCTCATGGACTTGGCTTCCATTAAACCAATCAAAGCCCCTGAATGTTTCACAACATTCTTCACAGTAACATCTTTCGCCCAAGGCAAACCCACTTCTTCAGCAACCTTCACAAGCCTCTCCGATAACTCTTTATACCGCGTTTTACAGGTAGTCAACGAAACCCGAGCATCTTTCGCAAAATCATCAATCTTTACCTTAACACCATTAACTTGAACAACAAACGCCAAAACAGCCACAACCAAAGGCATTGGTCTCCTCCCAGTTGACAAAAACCACTTCAGAGCACAATTCATCAGAAAAGCTCCTTGCTTTGATATCTTCTCCTTCTTCTCGCTATCGACACCACTCAATCTCGGTGAGTTATTCGCTGTCGTCATAAACAAACCCACAAGATCATACTCTCGAAACTCCAACTCCAAATGATCCACAACACGCTTAATCACACTCCCTAACTGATGCAATTCGCATCCAACTGCAATAGCAATCTCTTCCATAGGCAAAACACCCTTGCCTTCTTTTCTCACCAATGCGTAACAACACGCCCCAATCAAAATCGGAAACCACTCACCTTGTCCGAATTCCCCATCAGTGATCTTACTAATCATACTCTTAATCGTTTCAGCTTCATTCCCCAGATTCAGTCTGTCTGTGATTTCGTCAATAAGTTTTTTGGCTTCATAAATCTTCTTATCTTTATAAGCAAGGGCAGAGCCTGAACCAGCGGTGCCTATTCGTAAATATGTACCTTGAGGTCCGTTTATACCGCCAAGCTGAGCTTCATAGTTATCGTACTCTTGTAATGTCCCACATCCACCGCAATACGAATTCCCCGTGCCTTCTTCGCGTTGGAAGTTGCTTCCATTGCATCTCTTGCATCGCATCATTCCAACCCAAAGCTTCGCACTTTAACTTAGGTTTTCTAAATCCCCGGCGCGAACGAACATAAGGATTAGGTTAAAGACAGCGACACGAGATTCCGATCGACGGCGAATCCACAAGCACTGGGAGACATCAATGTCGTAATTAAGATTAGACCTTCCCTTATAAAAACCGAATTAGGTTTATATAATTATGTCGGGACGGTAATAACGGCAAGGTGTTAATGTAACTAAAATTAAAACGTCAGGACGTTCAGAGTTCTTTATCTGAGGCTTTTATTAAAAACGACGTACAGTCTATATATGTACCTTCTTCTTTCTCTTCACCGGTAAGACTTTAAGCGAAACCGGGTTTCGGATTTGATCCATTCAAGGAAGTGCGGATTCCGTTCGCCGGGAGAGATAATTATTTTGGTTGCGAGGACTTTGTATTTGGGTATAGTTGGCGAGATTTATGGGTACTCAACGGTGTTTATAATGCACGCATATTGCTCGACGAAAAGCCGCAGAGAGTCTTTTGTTGCTGTGCGATTTGATTGAGGCTCAAAAGTCTGAAACTTTTTGCTTGGGTATTGAGAAGCTCGAATGGTGAGCTTTTCTCTTTCAAATAAGAGGTACACTTACATACACGAAAGTGAAAGTAAGCCAACTAGAGAAGCCATTGACATCCACCATGTGATCATCAACGGAAGCAAGCCAGCTGGTTATGCCCGTCGTAGGGGAATTGGTTTCTTCCTTGTGCTTTTGGCGAGCTCTATGCACTTTTTGCTTGGAGAGGTAATGATACTTTTAGGAGATGTCTGTTTGTGCTCTGTCTTGTTTGTATATGAATCTTGCATGAAGTTTGGGTAGTTTCGAGGTATTGCTTAGAATAAGTGCTGCTAATGCACATTATGAGTAAGGCGTACGACTTTGTTTCTTAATTTTAAAGGGACCAATCACATAGCTTTTAGAAGTATGGCTTCCTAAGTGAACGACTTAACAGTTTGATATTTACATTCTGGTTGAGTAATATGTTAAATAGATGAAAAGTTTTGCGTAAAGCACGATGCTTAATTTGAAGTACTTCACAAGGTTTTTTTTGTATATGTTCCATCTGTTGCTTCTTTACGCTCAAGTATCTGAAATAAATGATACACATGAATCAGGACAATCCAGTTAGAACTCTTTCTTGGATCTGCCTCTTAAGTGGTTTCTTAGTTATGCTACAAAGTCGGAAGATTGTCAAGAAAGGTGAGATCCTGGTTCATGATTACACACACTTTACAGGCTTACCAAATGACACCAGCTTCATGTCTTTAATTAATTTTATCTTTTCTTTGAATTGCTCAGAATCTGTTATAATCATGCCAACCTTCGGGATCCAACTAGAAACTCAATATTTAAGGTACGCTCTATCCATTTATTTAGTATATTTTGTCTGCACTCAATGATGAATTAACGCTTTAAACTACTCCAGATTAATGGCCTCTAAGATAGGTGAAACTGGTGGAATCAGTTGTAGTCTATGACCTATTCTTATCTATACAAGCACCAATCATCTATTGCACATGTTTTTGCTTTGCAGTGGAAAAACTATCTCCAGGTTTATCCCTATTGGCAAGATTTTGAAGCCTGTGCTGGTTGAATGTGTCACCCCTGTTACATGTTACTGGAGTCTCTCCTTATTCCTGCGTGGCGAAGAACAACTTACGTTGGTGTTTAAGGTAAGGCCACCAGTGTGTTACAATACTTTGTGAGAGAGAAATTATTGCTGAAAACTTTGAGAAACAATCAATCTGAGAATATTACGTTTAGCCACCAATTCTGAGGTCGGTTTCCTCTTTGTACAGGAACTGCGTCCGCCATTGAAGATATTAGTTCCCATTTGGAAAGCGTTGTGTGCTGTTATCGGCACTGAACAAAGTGAGACGATAGCTAAAGAAGAACATGATGTAGCTGGTTAAGCATCTACATTTGAGATATCTACTGGCCATGATCGGCTACAAGACAAGCACTGAAGTTGTGATCACACAATGTGTTCTGTAACGTGAGAATTTGACTAGAGGACAAAAAAACTCTTGACTGGTAAACTTTTGGACCATGGATCGTTTGTCGACTAGAAACTTTTCTTTTGTATATTAACTGGATAAAAAGAGTACAATGAGTGAGTGCAAGGGTTTGAAAAGTTTTGATGTACACGTTTCCTACAAAGTTGTGATTAATAATTAATTTAATCCCACATCGGTTCTTTGGAGGAAAGATCTGTTTCATAACTTCACCTACAAATATTGCATCTTCCGTGTCTAATTACCTCACGGGTTGTAACCAACTTTCGATATTTTGGTCTAAGCTTTGTTTTCTTTATTTTTCTTTTCAAAATCGGAGAAGATTTACATAACTATATATCAAAAGAGAAGATTTACAGTATGACTAAGAGTTAAGTAAAGTAGTTATTTACTGACTCAACGGCACTATCGACATTGAGCTCTTTAAGCTTTTAGTTTCTAGCTTTTTCTAAGCGTGACTTAGCACGATCAAGCGTAATTTCTCTCCGGTGGAAACCATGCCACAGTTGTTTAGAACCGAGCTTTGTTATCTGTTTGTGCAATGCCTTCAGATTGACTAGGGGAACTGTCGTTGGTCGTCCATGAGCACACTATACACAGACTTAATGGGTTAGTTTGATTAAAGATGAATCCTTTTGGTAAGATTTGATGTTAATTACTTACCTGGAAACAAAGCGAGGTCTGCTTCAGTCCTTCCATGATTAAAGAGCATTCCGAGGGTAACAGAGAATCTCCAAACATAATTGCACCTTTATGAGAAGATAAAAACACAGAATTAGCAGAGAAACCAAGTGATGAATAGTGGTCACTATATTATCCTTGAACATACAAAAAAATTATGGAGAGATCAGGAATGTACCTCTACAGGCTTTGGAGTTGAGGATTCGAAGAACAGATGGAGGAATTGTTGATGATCCGTCAGTATCAGCAAGCTGGTTTGGCAAAAAGTTGAGTAAGAATCTTAAAGAAAAAAGGAAGAGAAAGAAAAGAAAAGCTATGTGCGTGTACACGAGTCTGAGCATACCTGCTGAAGAAACTCCAATAGATCAACATCAGATAGATTTACACCCAGAATGCATGGGACCTATAAGTGGTATAAACAGAGTGATCATTCAAGTGGCCCATATAGAATCACACAGAGAATGGAATCACTTTTAACTGGCAAAAGCAGTAACCGAAATGAAAGAACTAGACTATATGCCTAACCGCATTAAGTGTGATTGGGGTTGGTTTCCGTTGGATGATGCTCATGTTCCTGTAGAAAAGGAAAACAATAATCACGTCTTTAGAGAATCATGGTGTGGAATCTAAAACACACTACTGCATATTGTTAGAACTCAAAAAAGTATTGCATATTATTGAGCAGCAAGAGAAAATTTACTTCTTAAAGGATGTTGAACCTTCTACATTGATGCTGCAGATCCAACCCCAGTTTCTTATCTGCTCTGAATAACTCTGGAGTAACTGATAGCCCATTTCTGGCAGTACCTTTTATGTCAAAACAAAAGATTAATGATGCATCATCATAAACCGAAGAGAGTAGAAAACTCTGATGACGATATTATCTAATATCCTGTTCAAACATACCAACTCTTGGTCTGCATTCAAGTAGGTGACTGTCCTTGCTTCCCCAGCCAAGACCTAGTAATTGCAATTGTTTCGTCAGTTGACAGAAGCATAACAATATCGAAACTAGGAAACATTAGAAAAGTAGTTCCATGAACTTGAAGTTCCAAGATGTTCTTACCTTTTTACGCAGCTCTTCCAAGCGAATTCTTTCATCGGCAGCATGCTGTCAAAAATGACACCAGAAGATAGCAAGACATATATTAAGAGAAAAAATATTCAGAGCTTATGTTGTTATAGTTTGAACATAATTATCCAACATATTCAGACAAAGTGTTTAGAATTTGAGATAAAGGAGACAAAAGAGATATGATGAACCTGATCAACGATGGCAAGTGTTCCACAAGCAACAATTGGGATATATTTTTTGTCAACCTGTTGTAGGACCCTGGCATCTTCAACGGAGTGCCTGTTTATAGATTCAGGAACCAATGATTCATCGGATCGTAGGTGCAAAAGTCCTGAACATATATCAAGTACACTATCTTGATCGTGAAGCTCATGTGATTCCTTGGCAACCTGCACAACAGTGGAAAATATTATGGATGCTCGGTTCTCTTCCATTGACCGGAAAGTCACTCTATCAGGAGAAAACAAACCTTATCAATGTGTATAACCTGAGACACTGAACAGTGATGGCGCCATTTCGTTGTGGATTTATCAAGATCCACATTTTCTTTTGAGCTGAAGTCTGCAGATTAGATAACATAGTAAATACTCCGGATGGAAGAGGGGAGAAAAAAGGAAACATCATGAAGACTCACATATACCAAACTTTTAAAGGAGCACGTTTTATTGACAACTACAACAAACTGGAAGATACGGCAATTTATATTATCTACCATTATGTAGCAGTGTCTTCCAGATGATTCATCTACTAAAGAGATATATTGCTAATTCAAGATTAATATTTACCTTTGTCTCCATCCTCCTCTAGCGTCTCTGGGTGCACAGTCCTGCAACCAGTAGATGCTTTCAAGTCTGAGGCAGAATTCAAACTTTCTTCTGTTTCTTGTATGTGATCATATGACACATCATTAATGATGCTCCGCTTCGGATACATATGAGATGTATTACAAGGTTGTGTCAAACACTCCAAATCATCATGTTCTGCAGAAAGATAAACCTCATTAATATCTTTTGTACCACATTCTGGAAACTAAAACCATACCAGGAAAATATGACTACATCTGACCAAAGACCAGTAGTATGAACCTTGTGGATCAGAGTTCTTTGATTTTGTGTCTGATCTACAATTTAAGCTGATAAATCTCTTCTTATCCTGATAAAATGGAGGAGCAGAGCGGCTTCTTCTTGACCTTTGTTTACCATCATTATTCTGTCTAACATTCCTATAATTGAACTTGTCCCTTTTGATACTAATTAGTTCAATACCCACATTATCTGCGTGCTCCCACAATGACTTGCAAACTTTTTCATCTGACTGAGTGAAATTCTGAATAGCTGTGAAGGAATCTGTGTTAGTTTCCTGACAATCCATTTGCGGTATGACCTCATGATCAAATTCGATGTTATCAGCTGCACTGAACAAAAATTCAGGGTCAATCATCCTTCCCAGTCTCAAACTCCCTTCCAGAATTTGACAACCTTTCTGATAATCTAACTCCCACTTGGTCGCAGAAGGAGGTGTGGAGAACATTGGAGACAACTCAGAACTCAAACAGAAACTCTCAGCACCAGAGCTCCCCACATTGACAGAGGAAAAGTACTTTTTCCCGAAAATTTTGTCTTTGTATGAATGAAATTCTACAGTATCTATGGAGGCAATGTTAAAATCTTCTCTACCACTTCCACTATATGCGGGACGTTGTAGTGTAAACCAATCAGTATCCTGCCATGAACTCCCTAGGGAACAATCAAGAGTCCTAGTCGTTCCATGACATTCAAGAGTATCAGAAAATATATCACTCTGAGAACCACCTTCTCTGGTCTCCAGGACACGAATCAGCGAGTTACACTGGTCGTTATTGAGTATCATAGGCATGGCTAATTCAGACCTTTCATCATGAGTTCGTATAGGCTTGTTAAGGATTAGGCTCTCTCCTGAGGAGTAACCACGCAAGAGATGTTTTCCAGTGAAATTGCTGACATTCAACTCATCTTTATATCCTCCAAACTGCTGATTTAATTCGTCTGAATCTTTCCTAAAATCATTGTCGATATTGAGAGGTGTGCTACTCTGACATCTTTTTAGAGACTGTTTACTGCATGTAACACCAGCAACAAAGCTTGTTTTCAGGAGGTCAGTAACTTGTGGAAAGTCCATGTCACATGACTGTGGAAGAGAATCAGTCTGACAGTCAAATTCAGAGCCTTGCTCTTTGAGATTCTCAATATCCATGTCAAATTTATATTGTACAGACCTTTCATCCTTTCCTTCAGACAAAAAAACACCATCTCTTTTCAGTTCAGCAGCTGGGGATAATAGAAAACTACAAGGTGCCTTATCATTACTTCTCTTGAGCTTCTTTTTTGTAGGTTCCATAGCTTCTGGCCAATCTGCATCCAACAAATGACACATTGATAGAGACTTTCCGGGAATATTTAGATTGGACGAACCATAGATGGTTCTTCGTAATAAAGAAGCACTGATGTGATAGAAAGGTGACAGTATGAAAGTTTTTGTACCTTCTCGAAGTCTAAGGTCTTGTATATCACCTTTTGGTAGTAGATCAGCACCCCCATCAAAAAATTCTACGAGTAAAACGTACCGAAACAGTGAAACACCCAGAAATATTAGGGATATTATCAGAGCTTGAAAAAGGGTGCGTACCAAGACTTGTATCTTTCTTCCAGTTGGCTAGAATGATTCTTCGTATGAAGGCAAGTATAGGTTCCCAATTCTGCCACAGACATATTGGCAATCATTAAAAATCTCAAAAATATACTACAAAAATTTAGATCACAAGATAAATCTTACCTTGAACTCAACGTGAGTCTTTGATGGTTCAAACGAGAATTCATAAAGATGACGTGGACATGTTATGCACAAAATATAACCAGGATTGGATTGAAGTCTATTACGTCTTCCTGTTTGTAACTCATCTGGAGGCTTCCAGCTATCCGTATTTTCAAAACTAGCAGCCAAGTTGTACAGCAGCTTATGTATGGGACCTTTGCTTATGAATCTTGAATTGATATCTATCGCTGTGAAGGCCATACAACCAATATACAGAAATTACTGAGCCTAAACCGTAGAATATAGTAATGTATAGTCACAAACAAGAAGATGCACAAATATGGATACATATATACTGCAAGGCCTGCAAGGAAAAATACCACAATATTACAGAAAAGTAAGGCTCAAAGTTAACAATCTGACAAAAAACTGTGATAATTTTGAAGTCCGTAAGTGGAGCAAGTAACTTACCTTGAAACTATCTCCAGGACCAGATATATAGCCAGAGACAGTCAGCATGCTATCTGTAACGTTTACTTTACAAAGAGGATTTAAAGCCTCTTTTTCTGCATCTCTCATCAGTAGTGAGAACGCCGAAGAAGAAGGGTTGGTTTGGAAAAGCTCTTCATCACTGTAACAAGGAAACTATCAGAAGGGCTGGTTTCATAAGGATCTTTAAGTGAAAGTAGGAACCCACCTTTCAATATCAAGAACACTGAAGGAAACATTAGAGTGCACAAGGGCAATCCGGAACACGCACTTTTTGATAGATTCCAAAAGTTTCTTGGGGCTACCATTGCAACAAAACAAAATCATGGTCACAATTTCAAGAAACTTCAGATAAGGCGAAATTAAGATTGAAATCCAGATGATCTTACTCAAAAAAGTAAGTGTCTAAGAAATGAACCTGGATTGCATGTATTTTCGTCTCACTGGCTGATTGTAAAATAGATCTCGGACTGTTACTGCAACAACCAGGTCAAAGTCAGAAATTACTCATGCTAATGTAAGCCAAAATTCGAGTAAAGGCGTTTCTCAAATGTATAAGACAAATAGTTTATGAAAATTGTACTTAAGGCTTCACTTTCACAATTGGATAAGCATAACAGATAAAGCAATTGTGACAGAAGACACATTACCCGTCGTGCCAGAGACTTTTCTATCATCATCAATTCCTAGATGTAGACACTTGGATCCCTGAAAAGCAAATTGGAAGTTAAATAAAAACCATAACCAAGAGTACAGAAACTAATGTAGGAGTGATGAGTAGCATCAAAGTAATTCCATACCTTGATAACCTTTCGATAACCATTAGGCCTCCCAATAGCTTTTGTCCTAATTTCCAGTAACGAGATATCTGATATTGAAGCTAACGCCTCTCCACGGAATCCAAAAGTTTCACTGGCTGTCTCCAAATCGTGAAACTTTGAACTAGCTGTTTTGGAAGATTGCTGATGATAAGTTTCTCAAAAACCGAAAACTCAGAAGTGGCCTTTAGCAGAGCATCTAACATAAAAGATAGGTACAACTAACCATATCTCTCCCCCAACAAAACTAAATCATCTCTGGAAACGCCTGATCCTGAAAACCAAAATCAGTAAAAACATTGCCAAATTAGGACACAGTCATTAGTCAAAAATAATCATTGTGGAGCTATTACTCACCATCATCCACAACCTTCACAGAGCACGAAACAACACCCACGAATATTGACACCTGAAAACAGAGAAATCAATCAGAAGAATTCCAAAATTCATGTTGTAGATAGAAAGTTGAAGAAATCGACGCAGAGGGGGAATCTGATTTTAGCGGACCTTGGTCGCACCAGCATCGAGGCTATTGAACACGAGTTCCTCCACGACCCTCGTGATGTCGAACATGATAATCCCAGAACGCATGGAGTGACGAACACCTTCGGGCAAAGGCTTGATCGTCTTCATCTCCGAATTATCCCGACTGAGAAACACCGGGAAACAAAAACCCTAAACCCAAAATTTCAAGAAGCAATAGACGCGGGTATCAGTTATTGGAGATTGCGAAGCTACTTATGGCCATTAGATATGAAACTGAGAAAAAGAGGCATCCGCCATCGCCTTTCGCACCATCATCTCTCGCTCTCGCTCTCGCTCTCAACGGGAACTGGAGGGAAAATAAAGAAATTGGGGGTTAGGGTTTGCTAAAACGACAGCGGTTTGTGTAATTTATAAAACAAATAAAAGACGATTATCGAAACCGAATTCTCAATAAACGATTTCATTCCATATGGGAACACACTAAACCGGATTGCTTAAAGAAGAAAATATTGAAAACTGAACAAATCCCTCTGACTCGAGGAGAAACTTCATAAACAACAACAATGTGCTCAATAGACAACCTTTTTTTTTGGTAGTTATCTCAATAGACAACCTAGCAACCAAAGGAAGAGGCTAAGATTCATGATCTCTAATCAACAATGTTAATGGTTTCCAAATATCATTAATTTTACTATGTAAACTATTTTTTTCTTTAAACTGATTTTAAAAGTTCAAATGTTTTTGATTTTAACTGAGATCTAACGTATTTCCTCTTGTTGATGATCTTTGTTTTTTTTTTTTTTTTTTTTGGTCAAGACACGAGAGATTGCTGATAATTACGTAAGGGGTAATAATTCGAATAGTTTCTTTGTACAAAATGATTTCATTAACCCTTTTTTTTTGGAGAATGAAATGGCACGGCAAGTGGGATGGTGAAGTTGACTATATATATGCAACTCCGCCAAACAAAAATTAATTTTCACTAGTAGGGACTCTCTAATGATCATTAATCTATCAGATTAATTGTTTTGTCGATTCTTTTCTTTTCTTTTTGGTTTCTCTCCGAAGTAATTAAGATCTTGGATCGACCACGTTGCTTTGATATCCATCCACCATTATTTCTCAACCACGTCATATAATATTGGTAAATCTCTCCAAGCGATTATATGGATTCTAATTATTTATGTAGGGAAAATATGAAATTAACTCCGTGAAGGAAAATAGAAGGGAAATAAATGACGGCCGTTATTATAGTTAGGCGGAGGAAATGTAATAATAACGGAAAGCATGACCAGCTCGTTTGAGGTTGTTGTTGTCATGTAATAACATGTAATAATAAGAGATAACTGTAATTAAAAAAAAATTGTCAATCAAAATTACAAAATCATGTGATAAAAATTAAAAAAGAAAAAGAGAAATAAAAAGAGTCGGATTTTTTTGTTTGTAGGGTTTCCATATAAAAATGAAAATGGAACAAAATTCTCTTGTCTTCTTCATCCTCCTCCTCCACCTTTCTCTCTGCAAACCCTAATTTTCTTTCTCTCCTAAACTCTCTCATCTTCTTCTTCCATCTTCCTGTACCTTTCATTTCCAGAGAAACTGAGATGATAGGATAACTTATTATAACTGCGGTCATTTCAAAACTGTAAAGAAACGCCGAGGTAATATCAAATTTGCTTGTCTTGTCTCTTTTGTATTATTACTCTGTTTTCTAATTTTGTTTTATCTGTTTTGATTCATGATTTTGTTCTTTTCATTGCTACGTAATTCGTTTTCTCATCGATCACACCTTATGAGTTATGATCATCGAGTTATCAGCTGTGTTCATGTCAAGATTTTTCTGCTTAAATTGTCTTGTTAAAATTGTGTGATTTTGAAATTGAGTTTTGAGTATTCCTATAACCATGTTTGATATTTAAAAAAAAAAAAAAAAGTATCGATCTTTAAGGAAACAGAGAATTGGTTTATAACTTCTGTAATCTTAATCAGCAAATGTGTTTACTCTGATTTGGTTTCCATCGATCTGATCTCATTCATAATTCGAATTCTGATCCATTTGTTATCCGAAATTAAGACACTAAATCTGTCTTCTTGTTTCTCAGATTTGGGTTTTATATAAATGGAGATGAATCCGTGTGACACGAATCAGCTCGATTCCGATTCACATCTCCCTCCTCGAAAGAGGTTACTTGCTGGATTCAAGAAACTAAACTCCAACGCCAATGGATCTTCTCCTTGTGATTTCGCTTCTTCTTCCTCTACTTCAAACTCAAACGGATCTTCCTCTGCTTCAACCGATGTTCAGACCCATCTAGACAACTTGTTAGCTTCCCGTTTCAACAATGACCAGAATCAGTCACCGGAAGAGCTCGTTGAGGCGACAAGATCCGCAGCTGCTTTAGCGGTTAAAGCTGCAAAGGTGGCGAGGGCGATCGCCAACGAGAAGGCCTTGATTTCCTCAAAGGCGATTGCTGCGGCTAAGAGGGCACTGGAATTGGTTGATTCTTTCCCTAAAGAAGCTACACCTGATTGCAAGGAGAGGTCTCCTAAGAAGAACAAGCAGAAGAAACATGTCCCCGTCGAGCTTTTGTATTCCAAGGGAAAGCTAAGAGGCGAGGAAGACGATTTAGCACGTAGATTGCATCGGGCTATAGACTCGTATCCTAGAGTCTTGAGAACGTACTCGGATTTCGAGGAGAATGGACAGAGATACAAGAAGCATAAGAAGAACAAGAACGTAGTTGAAGGTGGGAGTAGTAGTATTATAGTAACCGGCTCCATGAAAGACATTGCCGGAGTCGTGGATTCAGACAGCTCCTATGAAGGGTTAGAGATAGCTAGATCAAACAGGGACGAAGAAGCGAATTCAACACTGATGAAGGAGAAAGCGGGGGAGGAAAGCAGCTCATTGAGTAGAAGAAGAGGAAGAGTGAAGCTAAAGAAGCTTCCTTTGAGCATTTGTAATTCTAGAAATCAAGAAAACGGAACTCCCTCCACGTCAACTCCATTACCGGTGGCTCAGCCGCAGGAGGACGGCGTCATCCCAGGATCGTCCTCTTGGAAATGCCAGGACCTGAAGGCTCCAGAATGTGCGAAACAGAACAAAGCCGTACGGTCATAGTGACTACTACTGTCTTGTCTAGAGAAGAAAAATGGCTCTTTTTTTCTTCAAGAGATGGGTCAGCATTGCCATTTTCAGTATAAGAATCAGATTGCTGTTTCCTTTTTTGGATGTGTTTGAGATTTATGTTATATATTGTTAAATATATACATAATAATACACTTTATTTGCCATTACAGTTGTGTAAATCAGGAAGGTTTGATTATTTTGGATTCATAGACGAGGATGAAATGTAATAAAAGTGATGTACTTTTTGTTGAATTAAACTAGTATGTTTTTTATTTCTTTTGGTTTAGAAACAATTGGTTGTAATTTTATATACTAAGTTAAGTATTACAAAGAAAGAAAAGAGATAAGAAAATGTAAAATTGTGGAATCAACGATTGGATACAGGGTGTCACGTGTAGATCTCCACGTGGTGATATAGATCGTGTGACACAGAATGAGAAACAGTATACGCAACAAAAGCTCTAAAGACAAAAGCTGCTGCTCAGTCATGCTGCACGTCACATGTGGTCTGAAAGTTAAAACCATCTGGCCATTGTCGCTTTTTTAGATTTTTGCTAAACAACAAAGAGTAAAATTTTATTGGATTAATTGGGTATTTTTGGTTTCTATCTTGGGAAATTGTAAGTGATGAACTTGGTTGACTGCTTTATTAAGTATTTGTCATTGATGTTTTTTTATTTAGTTCTCATTATTTCTGACCATTTAACCCTATCATCATTCAAAAACTTTTAATATCATCATCTCTAACTCTTCTCTCTCTCTCTCTCTCTCTCTCTCTCTCTCTCTCTCTCTCCATCGATTTCAATGGCTTCCATCGTTGCAATTGTATCTCTTTCGATCATCAAATCAACCGGTGGCGCCGCCGTTACCCACCGTCGTGTTTTCTATTTTTGATGTTATCGTCATCTTCTTCGATTGATATTTTTTTGTTTTGTTTAGATGACCCAACAAATTCTCATTCCATTTAATATGTGTACCAAATCTAAGGATTTGAAGTGTCTTTTTTTGTTGCTAAGTTTGATCTGTATTGTACTGTTCTTCCAATTCAAAGATCAAAGCTTTTGTTCAAGTTTTTTTTTCTAATTGAATTACACTTTTTGTGTTCTTGATGTGGATCTTGTGTTTATCAGGGTTTTAGGATAGTTCATCAGATTTGATTTGATTTGATTAACCCAGATCCTTGCCGATATGTAATTCATGTTTCTCTGCATGTGAATTGAGTGAGTCTTATGGTTCTTGTTTCTTATCTACAGATCGTGACGTAAGTTTCATTTACTGCTTATAAGTTATCTGATAAATGCATAGTTATCTAGTTAAATTATTTATAGTAAATCTTATGTTACCGCTATAACTTATATGTTATTCGATAAACGTATAGTTATGTAGTTAAATTATTTATTATATATTCATATACATCCTTGTTTTTATTGCTTTTTGGTGATAAATTGTATTTCTAAACAGTGTAGTCGTAGGGGAAAGAAACAGTTTCTTGATATATAATGTCAGAAAATATTAATTTCCATTTTTATAGCAATAAATATTAATTTAACGGATAATATGTAAATTACTATGATAACAGATTATTTAACATGTTTAAAAATAAGTTATCGCGAATGCTATTAATCACTGATGAACATTGTTATCGAATTCTATCATCAACAGTGCATAATGTTAGTATATGTTAGGTTATATTGCACTTCTCATGAAAAGATGGACAAGGTGTCAACCCTATGATGATCATGATCATATAACTCGCCTCTTTTACCTGATAACAAATACGTAGTCTTCTAATGTTTTTCTTATCCACTATCCAAATTGTTATGTTTATGTATATATACTATTCTAGAAAGTCAAGTGTGTAATTAGTGAATACTTTGTTGTATTTAATACCAATTTTTTATTTATAAGACAACACTTGTTACCTCAGTAGAATACTAATTGTCATACGGACTTATCGACTAAACAGAATGATATCAACTAAACAGATTGATATTGTATATATTTGTAGATATCATCAACATCATTAAATGCTGGAGTTGTTCGTATCTTTGCCAGTATAGTTAGGAATCAGAATCAATTTATTAAATCAACAGCTAACGTAGGGGCAATTTCGTAATCTTATAAGAGATAAGGTGAGAGAACTAGTTTTTTTATTATTGATGCTATACTTTTAATTTTTTATTTATCTGTGGCTATAAGTTTAACTCACCCTTCTATCTCTCTCCATGCCTACAGTGATAGAAATCGTTTTGAATCCAAATCTCGTCGGTTCATCTTCTAACTTCGTTATGAAACAGACTCCAAACTTTTTTCTTTTGTATGTTTGACATATTCCAAACTTGATTTGTAGCTTTTTATGAAAGAAGAGGACGTAACATAGTGAAAAGGTCTGCGTATAGGATTGGCCCAACTTGCGATGATGAGGGTTGGTAAAAAGTGGTAGTAAATAGAAAAGGGACATATACATACGAATATATAATGTGAACGTTGAAAAGAATTAGGGAGGAAAAGGTTAGGAATGTAGGTTGTTAAGTCATCTAAGAGATGAAGGATTGAATTGAATCTTTGAAATATATATCACTTTATTGAGAGACTATATGGGCATAAAAAGAAAGATAGTTAGGAGAAAAGTACCCTATAGGGCTATAGTGAAATGAAATGAAATGATGATATGTACACATATCTATTTATATGATATACATTTAAATTAATTAATATTTAGATTTAAAAAACCTCGGACCACCCTCTCTATCTAGCTTTATGTTATTCTTCTTAAGTTATTTAATTGATTAAGATATATAATAAATATAGGGATATATTCCAGAAATGATCATCATCATCGAGGAAGAAAATATGCTTGAAAGCAAAAATTTCACTTTACACTATATACACATTATATTAAATTATACGCCAATAAAGCTAAATGATAATGTGTTTTTTTACGTTTATTTAAAGGAAAAAGTGTAGTAGTGCTGAAGGACTAGCTATCTAGCTACTTGAGTTTGAAGCTAACTAAAAATCAAGAAATGGGAAAGAAAAACTCGTCTTATCAACTTTTACAGTGTTCTCACTTGTTTTTCCTCATAAGTCATATTACCCTCTTCATTTAGATAAGCTTTCTTTTACATATCCAAGCGTGCAATAATTCCAAAAGGTTGTAATAAACTCCATGGTAACTACAAGTTGTTTATATATCGAAGAAACTGAAAATCAAAATCAAAATCATGGACTCGTCCTGCATGCTATTAGTGGGATGTCTATCGAAGAAACTGATCATACGTTAGGTTTTAAAAAAAAAGAAGATACAAAGAAAGAGTTGAATTGTGATATATAGAAAAAAACCCTTGAGAGCTAGTTTTGAGAAGACGAAAAAATGATAAAAAAGCGAAGTTAAAAAGAAGAAAAGTTTAGGCTAATTCACTTTTGTTGCCTCGTGGGTGCAAATTTAATAAACAAACATATCGATAGAGAGAGGAAAAAAGGAGATAAGGCATAAGATTCCATTAAGTGAAACTGAAAGGTGGAAGAGAGGATGAGATGATGATACTTGGAATTGGAATTGGAATTGGAGTTTGGGCTTGTCATGCGTTTCTAGTGTGTATGTGTTTCTGTCTCTATGTTTGGTGGTACGCGTACGTTTTTCGTTTCCCCCCTTCTATTATTCCTCCTCTTTCTCCACCTTTTTCACTTTATTTTCAATTTATTCCCAATACTTCAAATTTGATAGAATGTATTTTGAACATAATGATAAATAGTAGTATTCGATGGTCTAGATCAGAACTTATAAGAAAATTAATACTGAAAAATGAATGAATTTGTTTTAAAAATATCGATATCTCAGCTCGAAATTAGTGTAGAGTAGAACACAAGTATCCATTTCTAGAAAACGTCCATAACTACGTTTTTGAATATATAATTATAGATTAAAATGAAATTATACATTTAGGCCAAAACAATGGAATTGCTATAATGGTGAAAAGCGACCTAACGTAATTAATTGTCGTCAGATTTATGTTTGTTTATCATGGACTCATAGTACTTCACAGATATTTTTGAGATATTTTGTTAAATAATCCATAAAATGTTTGTAAAATCTCACTATAAGTATACAACTAAACCAAAATAAATGGATTACTATAATGGTGAAAAAGGACCCAACATCCTCAAATCTTAAGTTTTTTTTAGCATGGGAGTACTTTTTTTTAGATACTTTGAGATATTTTGTTAAATCTCATTTAGAAATGTTTGTTTCATAAGTTTGTCCAAGACTCCAATCCAACTTGCATTACAAATAAACCAAAAAAAAAAAAACTAATTTTTAAATAAGCCGCTAATGAAATAGGTGATAACCATAAGTGATAAATGTAAGAAGATAAATTGAACTGCTATAATGATGAAAGTGACCTAACATATACTTCATTTTCATAATGTTTTTTTTCATATAAATTTGCTAAGAGTATTAACACCCATTTCTTAATTAGGAATATCATCCTCACAATTATTTCTGAGGAAACAAAATATGTATATATATAACATATATGAAACAACGCATAGATCATGCATAGTATAATTGGGATATGGTTGGATGGATGAAAATGAGACCGAGTCATACTTGCTTTCTTGCGGGTAAAAGGAGAAGAAGATACATGCTTTCTTTGACTTATCAAAGACTGAAATATTATAATACACACACACACACACATTTATCATGATTACTAGTATTGTTTTATTTTATTTCGATTTGTATATAACAACAGTAATCTTGTTGTAACTATAGTTAAATATTACGATCCACTAGACACGAAAACAAAACCAGAAGAACTTATACTACTAAGTCGGACTTACAGTTACAGTGTGCCAATCTTCCTAATCATTCAATTGCTAGTTATATATTATTACACACTTGCACTTTTGTTGCCTTTTTAATAAAGAAAAGTAATAAACTTCTCTAACCAATTTTATTTATTTATTAATGTGTCGACTGTCGAAAAAATATAAAACGCCCAATTTATCTCTAGCGATTTCCAAATATTAAAAGGAAATTGAGGAAATATATACTTTTCAGTTTCTATTTTTTATATAAAATAAATTGTTTTTTTTTTGTTGGGATTTCCTTCTCAAATGGGATCACATGACCGACCCATTTCTTAATGCTTAGGGTTGTCCAATCAATAAATACAGACTAATAAATAAAAACTAGAGTTTTCATATTTGATTAATTGCAGAACCGTGGATTAACAGTCTTACAGAGGAGAAATATCGAAAACATATAACTAAAAAGATCACTAATTTCCCTAATTAATTAATACTTTACTTTAATCGTGCCGATATTTTCCTTTTGTTTTAGCAAATTTATAAAAAAAAAAGGGAAAAAGAAAAGAAAGTGAACTTTTCAAGGAAGAAAAGCAGGAATAATGGCGGAAGTGAACTGTGAAGGATGTTGGTGATGAGGAAGAGGTTGTTGTTGATCTTTGATCTGAGTCTCCGCCGTGGAAGCATGGTGTCCACACCTATCACACTTCACCGGAACCAAAACCCGACGACAAGAAGGACACGACGACCTTGAAGTCAACCACTTGTCTATGCACGCCACGTGGAACGCGTGACTACACACCGGTAGGATTCTGATCTCTTCTCCCTCGGCGAACTCCGCTATGCAAATGGCACACTCCGTGGACGAGTCTTCTGCTGCGGCGGCCGTAGATGCAGAGGCAGAGGCAGAGGGGGAGGCGGTGTATGTGGATTTCGGGAGAGCTTCAATGACCTTTTTCTTGAGGCCTTTGTTGGGCGGCGGAGATTCTCTGATGGCTGCGGAATTAACGCCAGTGAGACGTCTTAGCCAAGCGCAGCGAGCTACGGCGGCTAAACCGGCGACGCATATGAGAGCGCAGAGAAGAGCAGACAAGATGACAACCATGTCAGTTTCGGCGGCGAGGATTTCTTCCGGCGGTGGCGGCGACGCCGTACCAAGGAATCTAGAGGAGCGAGTCATTTTGTTATGTTTTGATTAAGAGTTGTTCGAGTTCTTGTCTGAAGAGAGAGGAAAATGTGAAACTTTGTTGTTGTTGTTTGTTTAAAGAAAGAGAGGAAGAAGAATCTGATCCAAGTTTTATATAATAGAGACACACATACACATCTCTACTTATATATTAGAAAAAAAAAAAAGATATGTCCCAATTTGCAGATATCATTATTATTATTATTATTATTATTAAGTAAGGGTTTATTTAATTCCATGTCATGTTAATATCGGCTGAAAAGGTTGTATGAAAGAGAACACCTAAGTTTTATAACTTTCCGTAGACAAATTATTAGATTTAGAGTCTAAAGTTAGCTTTTTCTCTCTTCTCATGATGTCACCTAATCATCCATTTAATCCACATTTTTGTTTAAACATTAAAATAAATTTAAAACATTCATTTAGTGCATATTTATGTTACTTATTTAATTAATAGAAAGTTTATATAAATAAAATAAATTATGTAAAAAAATGAAATGTTAAAATAAGAAAAACAATACTTTATTTTTTTATTAGTGGTAATAATATAATTCAACTTTCATTTTAAATTGATCATAATTTAATATTTTAAATATGTTACTGAGTTTTAGAATGGATGTAAAATTTTAATTTATGGTAGACTAAAACAACATTTATGTAATTGTATGTATAAAATTATAAAGAGGAAAAATAAAATGAAAGTGAAATATTAGTTTATAACATGATCAAAAAGAAAAAAATGATATTTCACAAATTGAATCAAATGCTTTTAATCCAAATTTGAGTATTGAAAGATAATAATTAAAGATAAAATAATTATAATATTTTTGAAAATCAATTAAAAATAATAATAAAATATCACAATATGAATAAAAAATCAACGAAACAAAATTATAAACCACCCGCGCGAACAACTGCTAGTATCCCATAAAGTTATACAGTCTTTTTTTTTTTGTTCTTTACTATAAAGAAATATACATATTTCAATCTTTTAATTCAAGTAAAAAATTTAATTTGTCTTGTTGATTAGTTGATAATGATAAACGTTTGCTAACAATTAAATTAGCGAGTTAACATTTAACAAATATTTAGTAAACATAAGAACTAAAAAGCATACGAATAAACATTTAGCAAACAATAATATTTGTTCAGATTGGTTAACAATTAAATTTATGAGATCAAGTTGATTAACAATACTAATGATAAAGTAAGATATTATCATTTGCTCGATGTTTGCTAAATGTTTGCAAAATATTTAAATATGAAATGTATAAGTTAATTGATAATAATAACATTATCGAACAAAATTTTGTTTATTAGGTTGTATAGAACAGAATTATTTATTCATGATATATATTACAAATTAAACATAATAACCTAAGCTTTTTATCACATAATTTTTAATTTATCACAATAACATATTTTACATTGTTAATCAAATAAATATCCATATAATTATTTTTTATATTGCTTTTGCGATAAAAATGTGTTCTCAAATAATATTTATGGAGATTAAATAAATATAAAAAATTCGACGACAAGAAAAACAAGATGATCTCGTTTGAAACGCTTTTTTTTAGGCCTTTGTTGGACGGTAGAGATTTTTCGATAAGATACTATCGTTTTGTTAAATTTTTTTTCTTTTATGTATATATATAGATATATATATATATATATATATATATATATTAATATAACCTAAAAAAAATATCATCATATATTTTTTGACAACAACGAAGATGATGGATCAGAATAGTCGTATATTATTAGAAAACCTAAGCATATAAAAAGATAGGTTAGGTGTGGGTTCTCTCTTTTTAGGTTATGTTTGACGAAATCATTATCAAAAAGATGTAAGTTTAATTAATTTACTTTTTTACCTAAACCTACTTCTGTTAGACTCTTTTTCATTAATTCTCTTCATACTTTTTTTTTTTGGGACATAGTCTGGAAAAAGATCCCTTCACGATACAAAGACAAAAAAAAAACTACTAGTTAAAAAAAGAGCGAGAGAATATGGTTTTGTTGACAGGTGATGCTGTAAAGTTTTGGATTCTATGAGCTTCCAAGTTCTTGCAATATAATCTTTTTAGTTTTCTTTCAGTGTTTATCTTCACATTCTAGAGAATGTTTTCTATGCAAAAATTGGAGGAGTGGCATCAAAGGGTTAAAGAAACAGGCCTAAATAATATTGTCCAACGTACTATAAATTTATAGTTGCTCAACTCTTGGAAATACACCCAATTTCTTTTAGGTTTTGCATAGTTGGCAAAACTCTTTAATTAGAAACGACAATCTTTAAATATTTTCTTTTAGATTTGTACAATATAAATAGATTTTGTCTAAGATGTAGGTGGGATCTTGATAACTATCAATTTTACAGAATCTTTGAAATGGGTCTACGTGTCCTCACACACAAGGGTAGTATAAACTATTTTACACTATAGTATTTAAGTATTAACGGCAGGTAACACTTGTCCACCTGTGTCTATTATAAAGTTTTGGTGTTTCTAGACTCTCTGAGATATTTTCTATTTGGCGGTTCTTTTTTAACTGTAAAAAAAAGTCGAACCAAACCAAATTTTACCAATATCAATCAAACCTTAACCAACGATCCAAAATAAACTTCGTTTCTATACTTAGAAAAAAGCTATATACACAGGTGAAAGATCATCGGTCTTATGATATAGAGAAAGAAGATGGATGGAACTTACGAGAGACTAGATTGTTAGCCTAAACACAAATAGTTTAATTAATTAATTATTTTTTTGCTGGGCAAGAAGACAAGAATAAACAACTTTGAAAATGAAACTGCAATCGGAATGGAATATATGGTTTTTGGTGTGATGTGAGTCTTAACGTCTTATATGGAACCTAAAAAGGTGAAAAGCAAACCAAGTTATTTAACCCAATAATTCAATAATTTTAGCACACCGGGAAACAAATATAACGCAGAAGAAAACCATCAGTAATTGAGACTTGATGCATTAATCATGCCATGTATAAAAAAACAAATAATTGAAATTTAGAAGCATCAATCGTATACTCAGATGCAGGTTTAGACTTTAGAGAGTCAATAATCTATAGTTTTGGATAAAGCCAGCTTTAGATGTTTTCACTTTATATACGTTTCTTGTTTCTTTTTTTTTTTTTGACACAAGATTATTTATAGATTCTTAGCCTTTAACCAAATCATTTTTCATTTTTATTCGTAATTTTTATGATGAAAACTTAAACATATGAATATTAAAAGTAGATCATGTGTACACAAAACTGGGAAAAGACATTTATATATTCCATTATCATAGATTTATAATCATTACAACACTTTATGTTCTGTTCAAAGTGCAAGTACCCGCACCAATTAAAGTAAGTTTATATTGTGACATGTACTATAGATAGTCCATGCGTTTCCAGCTAATCAGACATGTATCTTATTCTATCAAATGTGTTGAATTCAAAAGTGATAGAGCAATTGGGAGTTTTGGACTTTGGCCGAAGTAACGAATAGGTTGACAAAAACAAAGATAAAGGCTAAAAGCCCCATACATTACATACGATCAGTTTTAAGAGTTGAATTATATATATATATATGTTGCACAGCAATAAACGAGTCAAAGTCATGCTTGTGTGTTACGTGTTCTATATGTGTCCATGATTATAGCGCAAGAGCAATATCCCAATATATCATGTCGGTGCGCAAACTTGTTTTGACTTTTGGGTCATGCTCATGTAACTGAAACATCAATTTTTTTTTTTAATATAGATATGCATGGCGTCACAAACCCAATTTGCTAGTGCCGTTTTAACACTCTTTGTTAATTCTAAATTGTTTTGTCATGTAACTATTGATTGATTATTCGGATCACATCAATGGTCCAAAACAACACAATTCCAAAGCAAAAGGTAAATAAGAATACTAAACTCAGATCTAATGGGCTGAAAAAGAAGGCCTAAATGTGAAGCGGAGGCCCAATATCTTCCCCTTGTCACCAAAACCCTCGAAGAACCGTGGAAGCTCTCTCTCTCTCTCATCACGATCACCAACAATGGCGGCTGCGAAGGAGATCTTAACACGGCGACCAGTGGCGGCGACGATCAGGCTAACCGTTCCGGCGGGAGGCGCAAGGCCAGCACCACCGGTAGGCCCGGCGCTAGGTCAGTACAGGCTTAACCTGATGGCTTTCTGCAAAGACTTCAACGCTCGGACACAAAAGTACAAACCAGACACTCCGATGGCCGTGACGATCACGGCCTTCAAGGACAACTCTTTCGAATTCACCGTCAAGTCTCCGACTGTGTCGTGGTACATCAAGAAAGCAGCCGGAGTCGACAAAGGGAGCACTCGTCCGGGTCATTTGACGGTGACGACGCTTTCGGTGAGACACGTGTACGAGATCGCGAAGGTGAAGCAGACGGATCCGTTTTGTCAGTATATGCCGTTGGAGTCGATTTGCAAATCTATCATTGGCACTGCTAATTCTATGGGTATCAAGATCGTTCATGATTTGGAATGATTTAGGGGTTTTTGATGAAAAGAGTTGAATCAAATGTGCTCTTGGGAAACATGTATTTTTCAGAGATTGTTCTGTGTTTTGGTTAATTCCATTGTTTTGTTTGTTTCAATAGATAAAATGAGCTTCAAAGCTTTTCAATCAGGAATTGAGTGGTAGTCAGTTTGTTCTTCAACATTGATCAATTGAATAATTTGGAAAGTGCAGAGAGATTGTGTTGTTGTTGTGGCTGTTGAATTTGGATCGTTAATAATAGGCAGAGTGATCTAAAGTTCGTTCCTTTTAACTTAAATAGATCAGATTTTGTTCTCATGGAGGAAGTTTTTGATTATTGTTTCAGCTATTCTCGGTTAAGTCAGGATATTTTTGTGTGCTTAAAGTTGAGTAATTCGAAGGAGCAATGGGGTGTTCTGAAATGGCATGACACAAGTAAGATGTTAGTAAAGAGACATCAATCTCAATTTACAAAACTGAGAACTTTTGAATTGCGTTTCTTATATCTGCTTCTGCGATATGTTTTAAGTGTAAGAGCTTTGTAGTTGTATGTTTGGAGAATCAAGTACTGCACTTTTGTTTCATGGGAGAACTTATCACACTGATATATGATCGTGTGGAGTCTGTAATCGAGTCCCACGCTTATGACGACTGATCACGCTGCTCGATGAAGTCTAGCTTGACTCAATAGCATCCGTTGATTTTGAAATTTCGTCGCTATCTCGAATGCTGTGGTCGAGGAAACACATTGACTTGGCCCTTGAGAGGGAAAAAAGACAGAGACCTGACCGGAGGGAGAAATAGCTCAACAACTCTCCATCCTCCACCCTCCTTTGAAAGGGCAATATAGAGAAATGGACAAAAAAAAAGAAGTTTAAATCGGGAAAATCTGAAGCAACCTCATTGATTAAAAAAAATCACAGGAAAGAGCGAAAAGTGGAGAGGGTCTTACGTTTCAGGGCCACACGCAATCTGAGTGCCATTCCTCTCTTTGTCTTTCTCTCTTTCTCTCTCTCTCTGTTCTAAGAAAGGGAAGCTCTTTGTCTTGTTGGGTCCTTGCAAAGATCCAATTTTGACGATCAAAAATCAACCCTTTGGGAGAGTTCAGAGTTCAGACACGTACGTCTTTAGAGATTAGATTGATATGTCGTGTTCATCTTCTTCCGGATCAGAAGGAGAAGAAGAGGGTTACGATGCTTACCGGAAAGGTGGTTATCACGCCGTCAGGATCGGCGATCCATTTTCTGGTGGTCGTTACATCGCTCAGAGAAAGCTCGGTTGGGGTCAATTCTCCACCGTTTGGCTTGCCTACGATACTCGCACCTCTGTACGCATCTCTCTTCTTTTGCCCTGCTTCTATTTTTTTGTTGCTTTGGTCGTAATGCCTGATTGTGATTTCTACAAACTGTGAACATCAAGCGTCTATTCATCATTGGTTTCAATATTTTTTCATCTGGGCTTTGTTCTCTTTATTTTTTTCTCATCTGAGAGTTTTATCTGTGACAAATCGAGATCGAATCACATTCAAATGACACTGTTCAAAGCTAAAAACTCATCCTTTATATACAATACGCTTCTGTTACTTTTGTAAGTGCTATAGATTTTGGTGCAAGATCCTTGCTTCATCAGATGATGATTCTGGTTTAGAAATTGTAGATTATAACTCTAGATTTGGCACTGGACTACTCTCTAGCTAACCATTTTACCGGATTTGTTTGCTCAAAAAGGATTGCTTATTAAATGGTTCAAGTATCTTTTTAATCATAGGAAGATAACGGTGATGTTAAGTATATCCTAAGAATGTTTTGCTTTGGTATGTGTTTGTCTTCTTCTTTTGTAGAGCTATGTTGCTTTGAAGATTCAGAAGAGCGCACAACAATTTGCTCAAGCTGCACTTCACGAAATCGAATTTCTTTCAGCTGCTGCTGATGGAGATCTCGCCAATTCCAAATGTGTTGTTCGTCTTATCGACCATTTTAAGCATATTGGGCCAAACGGACAGCATTTGTGCATGGTGCTTGAGTTTCTTGGCGATAGCTTGCTCCGTTTAATCAGATACAACCGTTACAAAGGTCTAAAACTGAATAATGTCCGGGAGATTTGCAGATGTATACTGACTGGTTTAGATTATTTGCACCGCGAGCTCGGTATGATTCACTCCGACTTAAAACCTGAAAACATTCTTCTTTGTTCCACCATCGACCCTGCCAAAGATCCTGTTAGATCTGGACTAACCCCATTACTAGAAAAGCCAGAGGGAAACGCAAACGGTGGCGGATCCACAATGAATCTGATTGAGAAGAAGCTAAAGAGGAGAGCGAAAAGAGCGGTTGCTAAAATATCAGAGAGAAGAGTTTCAATGGTGGGTGCTACGGGTGAAGAATCATCATCCAAGAGGGAAAGAAGCCTTGATGGGATTGATATGAGATGCAAAGTGGTTGACTTTGGTAACGCTTGTTGGGCTGATAAACAGTTTGCAGAAGAGATACAAACGAGACAGTATCGAGCTCCTGAAGTAATACTAAAGTCAGGATACTCTTTCTCGGTTGATATGTGGTCTTTTGGTTGTACGGCTTTTGAGCTTGTCACAGGAGATATGCTATTTGCTCCTAAAGAAGGGAATGGTTATGGAGAAGACGAGGTAAGATCTAAATCTAACCTCAAGATTTTGCTTCTCCATAATTTTTCCTGAATTTTTAATACGTTTTTGTTATCTGGTTTTGAATATAGGATCACCTGGCTCTTATGATGGAACTCCTAGGAAAGATGCCTCGAAAGGTATTTGTTGTTTTGTTTTCCAGCTCTGTTTTCTCGGTAGTCTTCTTCTGATATACTTGATTGAGCAGATTGCGATTGGAGGAGCGAGATCGAAAGACTATTTTGACAGACACGGGGATTTAAAAAGGATCCGGCGGTTGAAATATTGGCCACTTGATCGCTTACTGATGGATAAATACAAGCTTCCAGAAGCAGAAGCAAAGGAGTTTGCCGAGTTTCTGACTCCGATACTGGAGTTTGCGCCAGAGAAACGACCAACTGCGCAACAGTGCTTGGAACATCCATGGATGAATGTAAAGACAATGGAAAATGTAGATGCACAAATGAACAACTTGCATATCAAAGGGTGAAAGAAACTCAAACGTCTTCTTTGTTTTTTTCTTTGGTTCTTCATTCCTTTTTGAATAACTCTCTTCTTTAATTAATGGATTATTTCGTAATGGTTTCTTTGCTGTTTCGGGGGACCTATGATTATTGATTAATACTAGAAAAGTTTTGGTCTTGAGATTCCAAAATGGTTAATTCCTACCTAGGATGTAGGCCTGGGCAAAAAGCCCGAGGCCCGAAGCCCATACCCGACCCGGCCCGTTAGGCCCGTACCGAACCCGAACCCGATATAGGATTATACCCGAACGGGTTTAGTTTTTAAAAATTTAGGGTGCGGGTTCGGGTTCGGGTAAACCCGAAAACCCGATCAATACCCGAAAACCCGATTATATATAATTTAAATCATATTCATATATGTGTATGTATATTTCATTCCCAAAAATAATTTTCTTCGTTACCTAAAATCCAGGAGAATAGGAAGAGACGATATACGTTCTTTTTATACTCAAAATCAAAACCCTAATTATCCCAACAACAAAGTGGATTCACCAATTATCCAAAGCTCCCAATTTCATCATAGAAAAACTCCTTCCTCTGAGATTTCCAGAAATTATTCTCGGGTTAGTTTCTTCTTGTTTCTATCTCTAGCAAGTCTCTTCTCACTAATAACAATGGTACTGGTCCATGTTCATAGTACGCTGGCTTGTGAGTCTCTTTGTACAAAAATTAAAGCACAAGCGTCATCAAATCTGCAGTTTAGCTGATTTTTTATAGCAATATTTATGTCCTTTAGTTTCTTAAAAAGCTATGAAAATATTTTGAGTGGAGAGAGCTGTGTCATAAGAAAATAGCCTTTGTCTCTTTGGAATCTATAGCGTATATTATATACATTACTATGTGTTTTGAATATTCTAATGAGTCATTGTTAAGTTGTGAATTGTGATAATCAACGAACTCCGTAACGTGACTCCACATTTCTTTAATGTAAAAAAATAGTGTTGACTTTTGATTTATGTGAATCATCAAGTTGTGTAGTATTATAACGTGACTCCATATTTGAGAACTTGGAATATAAACAATGCATCGCATCACACCACATGTCATCGTATTATTATTTTGAAATTGACAAATTCTTTAAGTTTATGGAAGTAATAATATACGTTTGCTTACTCGTGTTTGTTATGTTGGTTATGTTATTGTGGAGGAAAGTCTTTTAGAATATTGGGTTAATTATGTTCTTGTAGAATATTACGTATGTTATGTTGTCGTAGACTATTGTTACGTTGGTCACATGTTTGATGTTATGTTTTTTAGTTTATTTAACAATGGGTTATTTTTTTGTTTCAGATGGATTCATCATCATTTCCAAATGGTGAGGGACTCGACAACGAAACAGCGGATTCTGGCAAACAAAAAGCACCAGATGATCCAAGTGGAGCTACTTCTCAACCAAAAAAAGAAAAGGAGCAAGGCGAGAGGGCTGATGTATGGGATCATTTCACAAAACATAAAGACAATCGTGATTTTTGTTTCTGTCACTATTGCCAACATAATTTATCATGCCCTACCAAGTCAGGGACTTCACATCTAAAGAGGCATTTGAAAACATGTAAGGCTTACTTAGCATGGCTGGATGGTAGTCAAGACAATACACAACAACAAAAACAGATTAATCAAGAAGGAGGTCTGAAGGATGCAAGAGTTTCTAAAGCTGTTTTCGATGAAGCTTGTGATATGATGCTTGTGATAGGAGAGTTGCCATTGTCTTTCATTGAAAGTGAGGCTTTTAAGAACTTCTGTAGCATGGTTAGCTCTTTATCTCTTCTTTGCTTTATCATTAGAAAAATATAGTTCTTTCTTTAGGTATATGACCTCTTTTTTGTCTTTCATACCAGTGTAACTTGTACCAACCTCATTCAAGAAGGACATCAACAAGAAACATAGTTGAGATGTATGTGAAGAGGAAAGCAGCTTTAAAGGAATTGTTCTTGAGTAACAAGCAAAGAGTCTCACTCACCACAGACATTTGGGTGGCTTCCCCAACAGGTAAGAATGAGAAACTGCTAGTTAACATTGGTTGTTATATTGGCGGTTAACATAGGCTGGTAAAACCGGTTGTGTAATGTTATTTGCAGGTGCTAGTTATATGGTCATCACAGCACATTACATTGATACACACTGGCGGTTGAAGAAGCTTATCATTGGGTTTAAATCCGTAACAGATCACAAAGGTCAGACTATATCAAATGTTCTTCTAGAATGCTTAGCTGAGTGGGGAATAAAGAAAGTTTTCTGTGTCACGGTTGACAATGCAACATCCAATAGTTTAGCTTTGAGAAATTTTGAGAAGAGTTTTGCTGAAATATCTCATGATTCTTTAGTGTTAAGTGGAGAATTCTTACATATGAGATGCAATGCCCACATTCTTAATTTGATTGTGAATGATGGATTGACTGATGTGAGTGACAGTGTGGCTGCAATACGTAATGCTGTCACGTATGTTAGATCCACTACGAATAGGCTAAATTCATTTGATCTGAAAGTTGATGCTGCTAGAATTAAAAGAGGTAGCTTGCCAATGGATGTAAAAACTCGTTGGAATTCAACATATTTAATGTTGACAAAGGCGATTAAGTTTAAAGCGGCATTTCAGAAGATGTATGCAGAGGATAAGCCATACAACGATTATTTTTTGGAGCTTGATAAAGGAAACAAGAAAATTGGACCTCCTGAGATGCTTGATTGGTCAAAAGTTGAAAGGTTAGAAAAATTTCTTGCAATTTTCTACGAGTCAACATTAGTTGTTTCAGGTTCTACTTCTGTGAATTCATTCAAGTGTTATGGTGAGATTGTGGACATTTGCACAAGTCTAAGAGAACTGAGTTACAGTTTTGATCAAGAATTGAAGAAAAATGCAACTGATATGTTAAAGAAGTTTGATAAGTACTGGGAGGGCCTGAAAAATATGAATAAAATGTTGATTGTGGCCACTGTGTTTGATCCTAGAAAGAAGATGAAGTTTGCTGAGTTGTGTTTTGATGATCTATTTGGGAAAGAAACTGTAGAGAATAAGGAAATGCAAACATCAGTGAAAGATATTCTCCGTTCTTTGTTTGATGAATACAGTTTACGATTGGGTACGGCTACAACCTCTGAAACTGTCAGTTTTCTCAGACATCTCACTGCAATCAAGAGCAGTCAACTGAAAGATGGGATGACGATCTCGACCTGGTTTCTAGTCGTAAAAGAAGAAAGGTGGAATCTAGATTTACAGAGATGCAGAATGAGAAAGGAGTTAAAGTATCGACGGATGAGCTGGATGTGTATCTAAAGGAAAGTTGTGAGACTCCAGATGTGATGCATGGAATGGAGTATGATGTACTGTCTTGGTGGAAGGTGAATGCCCACAAATATCCAATTTTAGCAGAGATAGCTCGTGACGTACTTGCAGTCCAAGTGTCATCGGTTGCATCTGAGAGTGCATTCAGCACGAGTGGAAGAATCATATCGCCAGCAAGGAGTTCTCTAACTCATTATATGGTGGAGGTTTTGATGTGTTTAGACCAGTGGATGAAACAAGATATTTCATTGTCACAAAAGTGCTTACAATTTCACAAATACTTGCTGACATAGAATACGATGAGAAGCTTGAGAAAGGTACATTTATGTTTTTATATTTTTTTGAAGTTTCTTTATACATGTTTATTCACATTTTTCTTGTTTCACCACTTTACAGAGTTTGAAATTCCTTTCATAATAGGCGATTAAACTCCAATGCAACAATGTATGAAGGTAATATAAGTTCAATTATTGCTCATGGACTTGTTAGTTGTTACATTTCTGACTTTTGGTTATGATTTATTAAACATCGCAAAAAAACAGGAACTTGAACTTGAGGATGGAGGCATGGAGGAAAGAGCTAAAGATGATTGAATGTGGACATGTAGTTGTTCTGATTTGAAGTCTTTTTTTTCTTAAAACGTTCATGGACGTATTGTCATTTGTCGCTTCGTTTTTATCTTTTGTTTTTTCTCTTTAACGTTCCTAAACTTCAATGCTACTTATCTACTATTTGCTTCTATTTGGATGATGATTTTGGTGAGATTACATTGAAATTTCTGTTTTTTGTTTAAAATTTTATTGGTTACTACGGTTATTTCGAACCCGAAATAAAACCGAACCCGAACCCGAAAAACCCGACCCGAACCCGAACCCGCCCGAAAATATATGTATACCCGACTGGGCTTTAGAAGTCCAAACCCGAAAACCCGAAATCCCGAAAAGCCCGGCCCGAACCCGAACGGGCCCCCGAACGCCCAGGGCTACACTGTATGCTGTTGAACGTAAGACTCATAATCTCCAATCACAAAACCAATTGAGTCAAGTTGTGCCAAACCTGCGTGTGGTTTGGAACTGGAATTATGAACCTGAATTTAAACCGGGTTTTAGGTAACACGCGGCTTCGTCCAGAGGGTTTCAACTGCAAGGAAAGAAAAGAAATAATGTCTCGTGCGTGCGTACTTGTGTTAATGGAACTTTTGTGCCTCGATATATTTACAAAGCCCAGATCCAGACTAATACACACTCTGTATGGGCCTGCTGTTTTACACATCCAGAGAGACTACTTATCCACAGAACGATGAGAAAATAATACGTGGTTTCAAATGATGAAACAAAGCTTTTGCTTCATTCATTGGTTCACATGTGAAGTCACATGTATACTGATATGATAACACACATAAAAGAAAGACCATGTCTCGTGACGATTATACATACATAGACAAAAAAAAAGAAGAAACAAGCTGCATTATTACAAGGCAAGAGTATTAATTAACCAATTTACTCTCTAGACAAAACCACGTTCATGGCCAACTCAATGTCATGTCTCTCCTCTAAGCATCACAGCAATCACATCACATCTCTATCCATTACACACAGAAACTTTTAGGTGCCAGAGTCTTAAGTTTCAAACCAAAGAAACGAAACCTGAGACGATACACTTCTGAACATCAAGTGGAGTGGTAATAAAAGAACATGAGGGACATGGTTCGGTTCTCTTTTGGGATGGGCTCTATGGGTTCGGCCATAACCGGGGAAAGAAAGAACAGACATGTGGAGGAAATACATGAATGAAACAATGATACATGTGAATAGTGAAGAAAGAAACAAAGAATGAATAGTGAAACATCTACGGTACTTGGAGTTGCAATGCAAATCAATGCTTCTCTCTCTCTCTCTCTCTCTCTCTCTCTCTCTCTCTTTGCATTGTCGTGTGAAGGTAGCTGGATTTGTCTGCCACTTGTGCTGTCAACAGCATTAACAGAATTACCTGAATAATGAGAGGGAAAGACAAAACAGGTGTTTTTGTTATTTGTATAACGCAAAGCGTGAATCTTGATTTTTTTTTTTAGTTTGGGCATCTAAAGTGTTACCTGATTTAAGGGTCAGAGACATTATCAGTTGATTTAGACGATCTCCATGCTGCTCTGTTTTCTCTTGTTGGACTTGGAAAAGAAGCACCTCTGCACCCAGCTCTTCTTCGGCTTAACCATTTGAGATTTCACGTTTCTCGTCTCCACAAGATCATTCATGTATTGAACAACGGCCTGTAAGTATGAACCATCAGCGAGTGAATATACCATTTATAATATAGACACATTTTGAAAAGAAAAAAACTAGAGTGATAAAGAATGAGAACCTGAGGACCCTTTTCAGCTATATCACGAGGAGGAACTTGTAATGGATTCTCCTGAGCACGAAAAACACGCAACTTCGTAAGCATTTTGAAGGAGTCGGGTAGAACACGGATCTGATTATTGCTTATATCAAGCTCTTCAAGCATCTCAAGGTTGCCTATCGATCTCGGAAGCGATATCATGTCAGCGAAATTGTTTCCAATATTCAGCTTCACAAGCGTAGTGGCAAAACACAAACTCTCTGGCACTGACTCCAGCTCATTGAAACTCGCATCCAGCTCTTTGAGGTTAGCTAAAGAAGACATTGTTGTAGGTAACTGCCGGATGTTATTGTAACGGACAGACAAGACCTCCAGCGTAGTAATCTTCCCAATAGCTTCTGGAAGAGCCTTGAGTTTGTTATAATCTGCACGGAGTTCTTTCAGCGAAGAACACCCACCGATAGAATGTGGGATCTCTTCAATATCATTTGTCTCAACGTCGAGCTTCTTTAGACTCACAAGAGAACCGACAGATTCAGGGAGAATCGGGAGGTTGTTACAGCTCAAATCAAGCTCCTCGAGTCTCAACAATCTGCTAAATGCTGAAGGCAAAGATGATAACTGGTTGCTACCAAGATTGAGGTAAACCAAGTTCAACAATTCTCCTATGGACTCAGGAAGCTGACCAATTCTGTTTGAATGCAAATCGAGCTTCGTCAATGAAGAAAGTCCTCCTATGGTGTTTGGCAATACCACAATGTGATTCTCAGACAAATCAAGGGAAATGAGACTCGATAACTTGCCAATAGAATCCGGAAGCCACTCGACTTGATCGGTTAACTTGTTCTGTAGATTAAGCTCTTGAGTAGCTTTCTTAGCTGATACCTCGATCAAGCTAGCAAGTTTTATCAAACTCAGCTTGTCTCCATCATTGCCTACACATAACAAATGATTCATTCACACTTCAGTTACTAACACAATCTATTGCAATTCCTGTTGCTCAGCTCTATCTAAAGGTTTAAACTTTTGAACAATTCCAGTTCCAACGCTTTTCCATATCTGAAGAATCAATCCTAAGTTCGAGTACCAATTGAATAACATAGAGCTTAAAATCAATGGAATCAAGAGAAGAGAAGGGTTGCTCTGACTCACCGGCGAATTTTCCGGCGGTAAGTGTCGAATCCATAATCTGAGGTTTTCGAGGCGCTGCAAAGGCATCAGTGTAGAGAGAAGGTTTAGTCTTTGAGACGAAGCTGTCGTCTCTTGAAACCATCTCTTTGGGGCGAACAGGGGGTTTCTCAGAAAAATACAAACTTGACGGAGAAGGCGTCCTCGGAGCCGGAGCCGGAGTCGGAGCGGGAGGAGGACGAGAGGGAACAGAGCCATTAGAGGAAGAAGGAGAAGCAATGCAATTAGAAGCTCTCTGAATCAAATCGTCGAAGAAAGCGTGAGTAGCCTCCAGATCGAGAAGCTTCAAAGCTTCTCTTTTCTGCTCTTTGCTACGAAAGTGAAGAAAACCTCTCTTCATATCTTGCAAGACCATGAAAAGCTCAGCGGGAACTTCAGAGCCTTTCCTCTGTTTAGCAATGGCTTCGAAACAAGACTGATCTTCTTTGTCAACGTTGTCAACCAAACCCTTGGCAGCTTCAACTTCGTCGATTCCTGGTCTCGGTGGAAGAGATCTGTGAATTCTCATGATTTCTTCAACAACTTGCTCCGTAGAATCCAAACGCTTATCCATTTGCATCAAATCCATTTACGAATTTGGAAGAAACGAGAGAAGATTAAAGGAGAAAAAAAAAGAAACCTTTTTGTTGTTGTTGTAGGCTAAAACTCAGAATCAAAAGTGACGGTTTTGGAAGTAAGAGATATAAAGATAGAGAGAGAGGAGTTTAAGTAGAAACCCAGAGGTTATTGTTTCTGCTCATAATAAATACAGCTGTTTCCATCACTCTCTGTCTCTCTGTATTATATCTATCCCTCTGTTAATTTTTTTTTGTTATGCTTCTTCTTCTTCTTCTTCTTCTGTGCTTCCTCATCAGTTCTTCAAGAAATAATTGATTACCTTTTTTCTTTTAGATTTTAATATATTGTCATTTGTCACTAATGAAACTATAATAATTATAATTACTTAGTAGTATCTTTTAGTTTCCTTGTTTAAAATTTTAAAGACAAGAAAATATGTTAAAAGTTAATTAACATTATCATTAGAGGATAGGTTTTATAAATAAAAAATGCGACGGAAATAACGTGAACCGTGAGATGGTGACCTATTGCTTATCTGTGGATTAGTATATCACGTTATTCCCATTTTCTCCCTGTACTTTCTTTTTATCGTATTTTCTTCGTATTTTGACCGTATTTATGGAGATGATCAAAACTATTACCATTTTTCGAAAAAGAGTTGAAAACATATTATTTATGGAGCAATAGGTTCTGCGGAGATCAATGCCTATTTCCAGTTTTCTCTACGAATATAAAATATAGAATATAGTTTCGTTACCGTTATTTATACTGGTGAAAATAAGCAAATTGTTAACTTGGAAGTTGGAATGTTATAGGGATCCTCAAATATTAATATCAAAAGGCCCATTAATTATGTCCATGAGAATGAGAAGTAGAAGATCAAAAATGATTTTCTATACTAATATATTTCTCCTATATGTATGTATAAAGTGAATATAATCAAATAGTATAGTCTTCTTTTTGTGAAATAATAATACAATACTAGTATTTGTAATGGCATTGTTCCTAAACAGTAATTATGTACAAAGCAAGATATAAAAAGACAAGAAAAAAAAACAAACAATTTTGACAAAGAAATAAAAAAGGGAGAAGAAAACGCCATGTGTGAGAGGGGACACGTGTCGGGTAGAAGGTCGATGATGTGTTGTCCTTTAACCTGTATCCAGCTGTCACATTCATGGCCCCCGACTTGTGTAATGTCTTATGTATTTGCTTATCTGGGAGAAAGACTCTCTCATGAAGGTTATTATATTCGGGTTGCATTTTCTCATCTATAATTTCATTTATAAATTAAACTATTTTGTTAAAGGGATAATTTTTTTACAAGGAACGAATTTAGATATCTTTTTATATTTGTATTTCTCTTAATAATTAATAATCAATTCAAGGTTATAAAATATTTCTAACAGTACAAATTCTTTATACGGAAGAAATAAACAATTTAGTAGAGGAATTTAGTAGAGTGTCAGTGTGTATTCAGAAAATCTTCTGATCCATTCATGATCATCGCTGTGTGTTTTAGTCCCTTTAACAGGTCTTCTGTTACTCGTAATCATGGAAAAGACGTAAAGAGAGTGTATATTATGAGAATGTATACTGTATAGTAAGCAACATGAGATAAACATGAGATGATACAATACCGATAAAAACTAACAACCCAAAGAAAAGAAAAGGAAAGCCAACGACCATAACAGACCGCTGGGCCTTTCTTTGTTTATATATTTTATGCAAGTGGCTAAAGTAAAATACATAACAGTAGTACATGTCAATAAAAATGAGTTTCAAGAATCAGTCAATGGATGCATTAGAAACTATATATTATCTCTGTGGTGTTTAAAAACTATTTTCTTTTTGTGTATACTCGCAACTCTCAAGTATTCTACGTACCTCATAGGTTGATATTCAATTTTCTTCTTTCTAGTTGACTTTTTCCATTCTTTAAGCAAATTTTCTTATAAACTATACTAGTCGATCGATTAAGTTTCAATATTTTTTTGTAATGTTTAAAAAATGGGAACACGCACATTTCTTTTTTCATAAGAGTATTTCTGAAAATACACATTTACAAAAAAACAAAAACAATAATTACATAATTACGAACGTTATAACTGTTAAACCCGAAAACAAATATTCGAGCTTTATATATCTAAAGCCAAAGATTATGTTCACAATACATTCCCAGAAAGTACGACTCTTTCTGTAATCAACTTTATAAACTCTTTAAACCTATATCGTTGATTCCAAAACGAAAGTTTAATACGTATCCCTAAAGTCAAACTCAAACAAAAAGCAAATAACCAAAATAAACTGCCGACACAAAAAGAAAAGAAGATAAAGTAGAGATTTAATTCTACTTTCTTTCTTTTTTTCTTTTTCAAAACTACCATTTATTATTCAAGGCATATAATAGTCCAATCTTATCGACTACATCAATTTTGAGAAAATCGGCATTCAAGTTTCACATTCATGCAGTTTTTAAATTTACGAATTGTTCGAAGAATATTTGGCTTTGTGGAGACTATTTTTGGGAAAGATAGACTATTTAACTTAAGGAAGAAGTCGTCATTTCTCTCTTTTCTAACATCAAACTTCTAAAGCTTTCTAAGCCGTCGTTTCCTCTGACCATAAACTTCTAAAGCCTCTAGAAGCTGTACGCGTCGTAATGACTACTAGGCTTCAAGATCAGACATGTCTTATAGATTTCTGACTACATGGATAGGTCATATTCACTTTCACTGTATACATGAACGTGAAGGCATCACTGAAAAATCAAATCTTTGGGGATTTTGTCGTAGCTAGTTTCAGAATTAGAGCTACAACTTTGAACAATATCCGTACTCATTTCCAACTGCAATATTGAAGAATAAACAAATCAATCTCCTTTAACTTTCTTCTATGCTAAAGATCAAATCTCATATTATGGTCCAATCTATCCATCAGGGATCAGAAATTAGCTCAATGACCGAGCATTCTGATTATATTCCTCAATCACTCTTACCTTGCTGAGATCCTATCTCTTGCAAGTAATGCTCTGCATCCAAAGCTGCCATGCACCCTACACAATCAATCAAACCAAGTTGTCATTTTGTTTGAAAATCGTGAGAATTGTCAAGTCTTAAAGACTGTTACTTACAAGAATCAAAGAACTCTACTAAGCAATGGAACAACACACTCAAGGAAGACTATATCTCCAACACAAAAAACCTTGCCTAGCATCAATTTGTCAATTGAACCACATGATATAGAAGCAACTAGACCGCAAGATCTTTTTTTGAAAAGATCGTTCCAAAAACAGAGATTGCACACAAATTGAAGTAGTTCTAAGCTAGAAAAAAACAAATTCTTTTAGAATCACTGTTGCAACCTGTGAGAATAAAAAGCTAAATGAGAAAGTAGAGAACTAACCAGTTCCTGCAGCAGTGATCGCCTGCCTATACTTCTTGTCCTGAACATCACCGGCAGCAAAAACTCCGGGAACACTAGTCTGTGTGGTACCAGGCTTCGTCACAACATAACCATCTGAATCCAACTCAACACCACCATCCAAGAACTTAGTAGCTGGCTCATGACCAATAGCAAAGAACAATCCAGAAACTTTCAAATCAGAGACATCTCCAGTAACCACATTCTTCACTTTCAATCCTCCAAGCACATCTCTTTCTCCATCCCCATAAGCTTCCACAACCAAAGAATTCCAAATCACATCAATCTTAGGGTTGGACAAAGCTCTATGCTGCATAATCTTAGACGCCCTAAAAGCATCTCTCCTATGGATTATAAACACTTTTGATCCATATTTAGTGAGAAAGTTGGCTTCTTCCATTGCTGAATCGCCTCCACCGATCACCGCAAGAGGTTTGTTACGGAAAATCGGAGCAGCTCCGTCGCAAACAGCACAAGCTGAGATCCCACGGTTCCAGAAACCTTCAGAACCTTCACCAGATCCAACGAAGTTAAGCCGCTTAGCCACAGCTCCAGTAGCGAGGATCACAGCGTCAGCTAGAACGGTTCTTGAATCTGTGTATAGCTTAAGCGGTTTCGAAGAGAAATCGACTTTTGTCACCGTCTCTGTGAAAATCTTAGTACCGAATCGCTCCGATTGTTGACGGAATTTGTCAGTGAGCTCTGCTCCGAGAATACCTTCTGGGAATCCGGGGAAGTTCTCGACGTCTGTGGTGGTTGTTAACTGGCCTCCCGGAGCGATGTCGTTAGCCATCCATCCTTCGAAGAGAAGAGGTTTAAGTTCCGCCCTCGCCGCGTAAATTGCCGCCGTGTGAGCCGCTGGACCACTGCCTACGATACAGAGCCTTGTGTTGTGAGTTTCGAGGCCATTCATGATGGCGGATGAAGAAAGCGCGGAGGCTAGAGACGGCGGCTGCGGCTGCGGCTGAGAAAGAGTGGATCTAACTCCAGGCCGTGCAAAGCTTCGTGCTCTGCTAATCAGACTCTTTAAAATCCTTGAACGACTCATAAAACTATTCATCGGGAACGAGACAAGACAAGACCTTCGATATATTAAAAACTTTTTCTCCTTTGTTATGTTGTGTAAAATAATTTTATGTTTATTTGTGTTAATATGAGACTTTTGTTATTAGAGATTTGGATAAATTTTGGACCTTACATAAATATGTAAAGCTTGGGAGTTGGGAGGGTATTGGGAATTTTGGACGATTACACAGTAACACAAGAATAGAATCACTTGGAGATCAAGTTGTTAACTTACATATCTTCCAACCAAGATGATTCTTGATTCAAACAATAGGTGACGAGCAAAATCAAAAGAAGAAGATAACTTCAGCAAAATAACCAGCCATACCATCGATTGCTATTTCTTTCTTTATTGATTTTGAATGGAAATCAAAACAACATAAGAGAAAGATTTTGAAGGAGAGTTAAAACCTAATAAAACATGAATAAATAAGAAAAAGAAGTATACAACAGCTTTTGAAACTGGTTCAGGGCACACAAAAGACAAATCTCTCAAAGATAACATGAGCTTAGAGCTTCCTTTAACCAGAAACTCAAAGGAAAGCATCCTTCTCAAGCAGCTTCACCACCTCCAGCTGGCTGTTGAGCTTGGCTACATCAATGGGTGTCTTCTCGTCTAGGTTTTGCAGAGTCCTGCGACCACACACACATAAACCATATATATAACTAAAGCCGTGAAACAGTGTTTAATACAGTTATTTCTCTATAATCTATTGTGCTGTGAGACTTACACTGCAGCACCATTCTCTAGGAGAAGGCTTACACACTCTTTTCTCCCGTAACCAGCAGCATAATGCAAAGGTGTGTTCTTGTTTTTATCAACCGCGTTAACACTAGCTCCAGCATCGATAAGGACTTGAGCACATTTCAACTGTGGAAAGGGCTCAATAGAGTCAAACTCAGTTCAATCCAATAAATTATAAGCAAAAAAAAATTGGTAAGTATGCAAGTCATAGCCAATTCAAATCATTGTGTCATGAAACTCGTAGGAGTACCCATGAATAATGATACTTATCATTTTATTCATGAGTACCCACGAATAATGATAAAGATTCTTAACTTCAACTAGTGAAAAAAAGAAAGGCAGCTACTTTAAATATTTAATTGCCCTGAAGTGATAAAAGACTTGCATACCTCGCCGTATCCACAAGCAAAATGCAATGCAGTCCTTCCCTCAGAATCTTCTTCATCTTTGTTACCACCAGATGCCAAGGCAGCTTTTAAACCCTGATTGAATCAACAAATCAAATGCAATAAAGAGTTCAATAAAACAAATTTGTACAGAGTGAGAAAATGGACAAAAAACACTTCTGCCTGTTCCACCTAATTCCTCGAGTAACACATAAATGATAATTCCCAGATGGTTAAGCATATAAACGTTTAACAAAGTAGAAAGCAGTCTAACCTCGACATCACCAAGACTGGCAGTCTGATGAACAATAGACTCTTCTTCTTCACCTTCTTCTGCTGCCTCAGGTTCAGCTGAAGTAGTCTGGTCTGGCAAGCCAGCAACAGGCATACCCATTGCTTCCCCCAGCTTTTTCAACACATCTGGATCATTCCAGTACCTAATACCATAAAACAATTCTTTCTCCATAAGCAAAAACAAGTTTTACAATATCTACAGAAAACATTGAAAGAAGTTTGTATCACTCACTTCATCATGGCAGAAGGGCCACCAGCATCAATCTCATCTAGTATAGGTTTCAACTCAGGATCTTCTTTCATCCGTGCCATACGCTCAGTAAAGTGCTCTGCTGTTTCAGGATTAGAGAAAGCATCCAGAAAGGGAGACATTTGTGGATCCTATAGGCAAAATTAAAAAAACAAAATAAACAGACAAACACAGAGATTCATTCAAAACCACGCCTCGATGAACCAAACTAAGAGAAGAAAATCTAAAAGGAAAACTCTGTAAAATTCTAACCTGCACTAAGGCGTTTCCAAGTCGCTCGGCCATTGTCTTAAACTCAGGGTTATGCATAACCTGTTGCATTGTGTTGACATACTGTTGTGGATCAAAGTTAGGGAAACCACCTTCCTGAGCTGCGTTAGGAATGGATCTCTGAAGCTGCTCAGCCAACTGGTTGAATGCAGGATCTTTCGCTATTTGCTCAGCCATTTCTCTGATGCTTGGATCCTAAAACCAAACACCACCAAAACCCATCAATAAAAAAAACTGGCCAATTTTAAAAACTTTTAAAATTGAGCTACAACACAAAGGGCACACTTACATTGAGGATACCAGCCATATTAGAAAAATCAAAAGCATTGAAATTCAAGCCAGGAATGCCAGGAATAGCTGGTGCAGGTGCACTCCCAGAAGCTGATTCAGGTATAGAAGTCTTATTGTCCTCCGTCGATTGGGCTTTCTCATCTGCAGTAAACAAAATTACAATTCTCTAATCTCAAAGATAAAACAATGAACCAATCACCACATCTGACTAGAAACGATTCGACATCGCCGATCAGATTGTAAAGAGAAAGGAGATATGAGAAAAAAAACACTGGGTAAGAATGAAACATTACCTGAAGGTGGAGGAGGATTTTTCTCTGAATTGGAAGCCATTAAATATGACTAAAACCCTAAAAAAAACACAAATTTGATTCAGCAAAAAAAGTATGGAAACTGAGTAGACAAGATACAACGAGAAAAAAAGAAGAAGATAAAAGAAATCGAAGGAGACCTATCAGAAAGAGAGAGAGATTAGTAAAACGAAGAAGAAGCAGAAATCTACCCGAGAAGACAATGTTGTGGTGGCAAGCGCACAGAAAACTCGACAAATACAGATAATCTTTTCTTTTTTTTTTTTTTTAATATGACGACTGAGAATTTATATATTTATTTATCAGCTGGATTGGATTTGAGAAGACGACGACGCACAACAGCCACTGCTTACATTGAAGTTTGAACCTAAAAGGTAAAAGCGGGGGGAGGTTTACTGGTAAATATAATATTAAAGGCCCAAGTAATCTGGTTTAATTCAAGGCCCAAGCCCACGTTTTCGAATGTGAACTGGACGTAATAAGCTGAGCCACGTCAGATTTATGATATTTTTCTCAGTAATGAGTAATGACGTTAAGAATTGAATTATCCGTTAATGGATAAACACGCGTCACTTCACGGAAGCAGCCGTTCATGGCAGCCACGCCTTCACTCTGTGCTGCTCTCCGATCGCCCGTCTCTTGCCGGAGACTCTCTCTGGTTCGGAAAACCTACGCTCCTTCTCAATTCAATGTCTTCCTCTCACCGTTTCCGTCACCTTCCTCCATCGATATCGGCGGCAGAATTTTCCCACGTTTACCGGCGGCGAAGCAGCAGGTTGATCAGGATGAAGTTGGATTCGATCAACAGCCTTCGCAGGAGCTATCAATAGCGTCGGCGTGTTTGGTTGGTGTTCTCACCGGAGTCAGTGTGGTTCTCTTTAATAACTGTGTTCACTTGCTTCGAGACTTCTCCTGGGATGGGATCCCTGATCGAGGAGCTTCGTGGCTTAGAGAGGCACCGATCGGTACCAATTGGCTGCGTGTCATTCTTGTTCCTACTATAGGCGGTTTGGTGGTGAGCGTGCTCAATCAGCTCCGGGAAGCTGCTGGAGAGTCCGCCGGAGATTCTGATGGAAGTCTCGATCGCGTAAAGGCAGTGTTGCGTCCTATACTTAAGACTGTTGCTGCATGTGTGACGCTTGGGACTGGAAATTCTCTGGGCCCGGAAGGTCCTAGTGTTGAAATTGGCGCATCAATCGCAAAAGGAGTAAATTCTCTATTCAATAAAAGTCCTCAGACTGGGCTCTCTCTTGTTGCTGCTGGCTCAGCTTCTGGAATTTCCTCTGGTTTGTTCATCTTCCATGAATACATTACGATATTTGCTATTTTTGGTTCTTGCGTATGAGTTTTGTGAGAACTATTCTTCTATCTTGGATGGCTATATGATTCAGATTAGTTATGTTTCTGTTATGATGTAAGTTAGTCGACTATGTTTTGCTACAGGGTTCAATGCAGCTGTTGCTGGATGCTTCTTTGCAGTTGAATCCGTTTTGTGGCCTTCTTCATCAAGTGATTCATCAGCATCACTTCCAAATACAACTTCAATGGTTATTCTTAGTGCTGTTACTGCATCTGTGGTTTCGGAGATCGGTCTTGGCTCTGAACCTGCGTTTAAAGTTCCTGACTATGACTTCCGTTCTCCTGGAGGTAATCTACGATTTAAATCCTTATGCTTTCTACCTCTTCCTTTCATGCTTTTCTTGGTGGAAAATTTTGCATAGCTGGTGGAACCAGAAACCAAACTTATGAGAGCTGTTAACTGATTTGCAGAGCTCCCACTCTATCTTTTATTGGGCGCCCTGTGTGGCCTGGTCTCGTTGGCATTATCTCGATGTACATCATCCATGACATCAGCTGTTGACAGTCTTAACAAGGATGCTGGGATACCAAAGGCTGTATTCCCAGTAATGGGTGGCCTAACTGTTGGTATCATAGCTTTGGTATACCCTGAGGTCTTATATTGGGGTTTCCAGAACGTGGATATTTTGTTGGAGAAACGTCCATTTGTGAAGGGACTTTCAGCTGATCTTTTGCTTCAGCTGGTAGCGGTCAAGATAGCTGCGACCGCATGGTGTCGGGCTTCTGGACTTGTTGGTGGATACTATGCTCCTTCTCTCTTTATTGGCGGGGCAGCAGGAATGGCCTATGGAAAATTTATTGGACTTGCTTTGGCTCAAAACCCTGGATTCAATCTGTCTATCCTGGAAGTGGCATCTCCACAAGCTTATGGTCTGGTACTGTTCTTATGTGGTCAATGTTTCAAACTTATCTCAATTTCAGAGTCGATTAGATTGGTTACCTTCCAAAACTTTGAACAGAGAAACGAAAAATTTATGCTACAATTTTTGCAGCTGATAATTTTCCAATGATCATGTTCCTCTCATTGTGTTACAGGTTGGAATGGCTGCTACACTTGCGGGGGTTTGTCAAGTTCCTCTTACAGCGGTACTACTGCTATTTGAACTTACACAGGATTATCGTATAGTGTTACCTCTACTGGGAGCTGTAGGCGTGTCTTCATGGATTACATCTGGACAGTCAAAGAGACAAGAAACTAGAGAGGCAAAAGAAACTAGGAAAAGAAAGAACCAGGAAGAAACTGTACAGTCTCTGACGTCATCTGATGATGAGTCATCAACAAATAACCTTTGTGAAGTTGAAAGTTCTCTTTGCATTGATGATTCACTAATCCAATCTGAGGAGCTACCGAAGAGTATCTTTGTTTCAGAAGCAATGCGAACAAAATTTGCCACAGTTATGATGAGCACTTCTTTGGAAGAGGCGTTAACTCGTATGCTGATAGAGAAACAATCTTGTGCCATGATTGTTGATCCTGACAACATTTTTCTTGGTCTGCTTACACTTTCAGACATTCAGGAATTCAGCAAAGCAAGAAAAGAAGGAAACAAAAGACCCAAAGTATGGAATTTGAATAGTCTGCTCTTGCCTCAAACCTCTGAACTAACTATTGTTGTGGTAACTGATCAAATAATTGAAACATTCCGTAGGATACATTTGTTAACGACATATGTTCGATGAGTGGAGGAAAATGTAAAGTGCCGTGGACTGTTACACCTGATATGGATCTTCTCGCTGCCCAAACAATCATGAACAAGCATGAAATTTCTCATGTTGCAGTCGTTTCAGGCAGCATTGATGCTCGCAGAATACACCCTGTTGGGGTCCTAGATAGAGAATGTATCACTCTAACGCAAAGGTATGCCTGCATCTATCTTTCCTCAGTTTAACTGTATCTCAAGATAACCTTTTCATATATTTTTTCAATGAACCTAACTGACTAACTCAGTCTTCCATATGGCAAGAGTGTGTAGAGAGTCGGTATTACTATAACTTGGGCTGCCAGGTTTCCAATATTTGATGTAGTTGAAGTTAAATTAGTTAAAGAAGTTTTACGTGCAACTATTTATCTTCTTATATAAGGAATGGAGTGAGAAGCCAATTCATTTGAACGTTTCTGTGCTTTTGCTATGTACTGCACTGGATATGATTGTAGTTTTTCTTAACTTTTTCTATTGATTGACCTGGCAGGGCTCTAGCAACCAGAATGTTCCTCGTCAATTCGTTGTATCCATAAACGGGCTTGATTTGTAACTCTTCTTGAGCTAACTAGGGTGATGTCAATCTATTCCTTCTGTGAGGCTCAGGGCCAATATTTGTTCTTTGTATCAAGAAATCTGGGGAGACAGTCGGCTGGGGCAGCATCGATGTTTGTCTTCTCCATCTGTTGTTTGAAGTTGTGGAAACTCCCACATCCCACTAAAGGTGTTGAGCAATTCAAAGGGAATGAAATATGGAACGTAGTTCTGAGAAAAGTTCAGAAATTTTCTGAGACCAAAGATACTGTGCTCAGGTGATTCGTTACCATTTGCATCTTATTTTTTACAGATTCGTTACTCAATATTTGTCTATTTTGTAAATTGCTTTCTGGCTTATATCATATTGAGAAAGTTTTGACTACTTGAAGACTGACAGTTTCAACAATTATACGGGTTTCCTTGTCCACTATTTTGTATATTGATAAATACTGGGTTTTCTTGAAATCCAACATTGAAATGCCTTATCTCTGGAGTCTCAATATGATAAAGCATGTTGATGTCTAATTATATGGAGATTTTTCTCCAAGAAAATCCCTAGAGAAAACAGTAGTCAGGCCATTGTGTTAGTTAAAAAACCGTCCTAAAACCAGTTAGGTAAAGAAGAAGCAACCCCACATGGGTTGAATGACCTACCTAATCTATACTTACCTCCAGCATGGTATAGCTAGTACCCTCTGAACACGCCTGCATACACTTTTGCTATATAATCATTCGGGTGTGGCTCTGTTGATACCGGAAAATGGATCAAGCAAAGGGAAAAGTCTGTGTTACTGGGGCTTCAGGATTCTTGGCTTCTTGGCTTGTGAAAAGACTTCTCCTTGACGGATATGAAGTTATTGGAACAGTCAGAGATCCAGGTTTTTCTATCCTTCTTCTTTCCTTGTTTTACTCCATTTCGGTACCTATCATTACTCGGTTAGTTTTCCTGTTTTGACAGGAAATGAGAAGAAACTTGCTCACCTTTGGAAGTTGGAAGGGGCAAAAGAGAGACTACACTTGGTGAAGGCTGATTTAATGGAAGATGGAAGTTTTGATAACGCCATAATGGGATGCCAAGGAGTTTTCCATACTGCTTCTCCTGTCCTCAAACCTACCTCTAATCCAGAGGCATGCCACTACAACTTTTTTTTATTTCTGGTCGTAGTATGCTTTGTGTATCTTTGACTAGATTATCTGTTCTCTAAGGCTCTTTCCTTCTTTTGATCTGATAGGATGAGATCTTGAGACCAGCTATAGAGGGAACCCTGAATGTACTGAGATCATGCAGGAAGAATCAGTCCCTGAAGCGTGTGGTTCTCACCTCATCCTCTTCAACTGTCAGAATCAGAGATGATTTTGATCCCAATATTCCTCTTGATGAATCAGTTTGGACTTCTATAGAACTCTGCAAGCGTTTCCAGGTATAGTTTGAATAGCCTTTTTTATGTATTAGCGAAGAACAAAAATCACAATGTCTTCTAGCTTACCCAAATGTGAATAAGATCTTGCTCAACAAAAAAAAATCATATTATCTAACAGTTTGTGTAATGCATTTCACAATTTGATACAACATGGGAACAAAGGTCTGGTATGCCTTATCAAAGACATTAGCTGAGCAAGCTGCATGGAAATTCTGTGAAGAAAATAGTATGGACCTTGTCACTGTTCTACCATCCTTCCTCGTTGGACCCAGTCTTCCTCCTGATCTATGTTCTACAGCTTCCGATGTCCTTGGATTACTGAAAGGTACTCTCTGTGTCGTCAGTTCTCTAAGCAAGATAACAGGACTTGTTTTTTGGGGTCCAATATCCATCTGTTTCAATAGCTTATATAACTTGTCATTCAACACAACAGGAGAAACAGAGAAGTTCCAATGGCATGGACAAATGGGGTATGTTCATATCGATGATGTTGCACGAACGCACATACTTGTTTTTGAACATGAAGCAGCTCAAGGCAGATACATTTGCAGCTCTGATGTCATCAGTCTAGAGGAACTAGTTTCCTTCTTATCCACTCGTTACCCATCACTGCCTATCCCCATGAGGTCTGACTCTAACCTTTATAAACTAATATCTTTATTAAGTCTTATAAATTTTTGAAAATCACAGAAGATGATATTCTCTTTGAAACTTTCAGGTTTGAGAAACTAAATAGGCTGCATTACAACTTTAACACCTCGAAGATACAGAGTCTCGGGTTCAAGTTCAAGTCCCTTGAAGAGATGTTTGATGACTGCATTGCTTCATTGGTCGAGCAAGGCTATTTATCTACCGCTGTTCCATAATTCTTAGACTAGAAAATATGTGCAAATAAGATTGGTCTGAGATAGTAGTAAATGTCGCTTCACAATAAAAGAATGGAATTTGAAAACATGACAAAGGTTACAAACCGATCTATATTATTATTTGTTTAGTTGTTTATGACCCAAATCAAAACATACATGTTCTATCAAAGTTACTTCAAGATGAAAAATTCCACAGGAGGAAAGTTGGAAAAAAATCTAAAACATTTTCTGTAGCAGTACACAGGGAACATGCTTTAACTGCAAAGAGTTCACAGATGATGAAAGAACTACTTAGTAGCCTGAGCAATTATATTACTTATCGAACTGGCCTCCTCTTTTGCAACCTCGACCAGTTGATCCTTCAACATCAAAACAGAGACAGATTGTCATTTGTCAAGAAAACAGTTATAGATTACTTTTGTCATGTCAATAACTTAAGCAGAGAAGTCAGTACCTGGGCGGATATAATCCTGGCTACTGTTTTCTTGCTAGACTCTTGAAGCTCCCCCGCAATCAAGAGCTCATCCAATATGTAATATGCCTATGAAAATCCAGAATGTGTCGTCATCAAGATAAAAAAAGATGCAGAGACTAGTGAATCAATTGTCGAACGACAAAGTCCTGGAGTGTTTCTAGTATGTTATTACCTTGTGGAAGTTAAAAATCAAATCGAGTTCACACACCTGAAGGTCATATGTAAAATAAGTTATGATGAAATTCTAGATGTTCCGGTAAGGTAAAAGATACTAAAAGTGGAAGTAGAGGTTCCAGGTGCTGGTTTTCTACTCACACTTCCAAAATAGCGATCGAGAATCTCAACATAGTGATGAATGATCTCGAGGACTTCTAACTCGTTATCCTCCTGATCAATGCACATGCAGAAATACAGACTTGCATATCTTTTGTAAACAACTTTGTATCCTCTCCATTCAACAAAATTGCAAAGCTTGGGGCCTCGATTCAGAATCACCCCACTGAGTTCTCGTATAACCTATCCATATAATGTTTCCCATGTAAGATCAAATGTATAACATGGTATTAAGCTCTGATGATTTTGGTATCCACACCTTAGATCTTTCCTTCTGTGCATAAGGAGAATACCATTTGGTGAGCCTTACCTTTCCTTGCCGGCTAACAAGAAGCACAAAATGAATCTGAAACCATACTCAAAATCACCCAAAAAAAAGACCATGAGGAGGATTACTTGTGAATCAACAACAAGGAAGCTGAAATGAGAAAGCCAAGCGATTAAGAGACCATGTGGGTCAACACAGACATCACCATTTGTAGCATCACATACACACAATTGTGAAAACGACAACTAACATGGTGAACACAAAAAAAAAAAAAAAAGAAGAAGAGATCCAACGAAAGGGAAACAAAGCTATGAACAGCCATTGCAGTAATTAGAAGGATCAAATCAACCCCAGAAGCTAACATTATCAAATTACATAAAGGCGCCAGCAAATTTCTATACACCAAAGGTAATCGGATCAAACTAATTAACCGAAATGTATAGATTAAAAGGAAATGCGAAATTCAAATGCAAAAGAAGGATCATAAACACATAGAATCGAAGGTAGAATCACTTGTGTTGTAGAGATTGTTACCATGGTTTCGTAGCTCACGACGTAAACAAATCTGTAGCAGAAGAATCTGCCTGAGATGATCCCCTCTCGCCTCTCACAGCCAAAACCAAAATGCTTTGTTTTTTCTTTGCTCAAAACTGTCAAACAGATGAGAGTGGTAGAGGTATAATAGTCATTTTACACATTTATTTTAAAAAAACGGGTTGCGTTACGGGTCGGATCTCCATGCAATGCCGATCCGACTTTGTGAGCTTACAGTTTTCCTCTAATCATTTTGTTCCATTATTGCGATTTGCGACTTTCGCATTTTCCGATTTTGATGATTGATTAGAAAAACTATACCTTTGTTCATTTAAATATAACTTGATGTCACAGAGATGAGTTTTTTTTTTTCTTCTTAATTTTAATCGTGTTCTAAATCGAATTTTAACAAATCTATTTTATACAATCTTTTACTGGATTGCTGATTTTCATTGGCTACTGCTTAGTGTTGTACCAAATAGCTTTATTTCTTATGTGAATAGAAGAAGTAAAACTTGTTATTCTTTGTTCATGAATATCAATATCATCAAAAATTCTATTTATAGAAACTATTTAACATAAACACGTAATTCAATACAGTTTGTGTTAGTATTGTCACCGCATACATCACCACAATGTTCAAATCTACACAATAGTTGACGAACAAATTAATATATCCATCGAAAAGCTCAAATGATATATGATGGCCTTTTTTGAAAAGAAAATAAAAGTATATGAAATTTCAATTGGTAGTTATATCAGAAAATATCAACAAAGAAAAGAACTAGAACTGGCGTTAGCGTATATAGAACAGCGACCAATGGACAATTATGAAGTTTTGAACACAGAAACATTTCACGTAACCTACTATTTGGTAGAAGCTACACCATACCTTGGACTTGGAGAGGGCTAGGCATATTCTTTGCATGCAGGCTTTTCATTTCTTTATTTTCTTTAATTTTGTTTTCCTCAAGTTTCAATGTGTTTTCAAGTTGACATCATAGAAATTAGGGTTTTTGTTCTTCTCCCAAAATATTCTTTCCCCTTCTTTGCCAGACAGTGGATGTTCAGTTTTATGATATGATCAATTAATTAAATTTGGAATTCTTACACACTTTTGTTGAATACACTCAAATTAGATAGAACGTGTAATGACAATAATCGCAAGATTCAGTTTAAGGCCTTAATATATAGAAACATCAATTGACGAATTTAAATTCATTTACTCCACATTCTTCACCTTATATTTTATTCACCTGAACATGTTTTAACTTGTATAGTCCAAGCAATCATACAATACAATAATGTCTTCCTTTTACAAAACTTACCGATTCTATTCATCATAAACAAACATAAAAAAAAGGAAACTGAAGGCTTCGTTTTCGTTTTTCACACACCAAAGATTAAAGAAAACAAAAGAAACCCTAATATTCGCATTCCACGTAACCGCTATAGCTACAAACGCACAAAAAAAGTGTCACCAAAACGCCCAAACGCTAAAACGCGGGTCTGGTAACACCGCCACCTCCACCATCTCCACCGCCGCTCATACCGAAGATATCTCCCCCTGAGAATTGAAAATTGTTCATATTCATTCCAAGATTGTAGAAAGCGACTCCTCCTCCGTTTCTACCTCCGAGGCTTGAATCACACGCTTGGCCCGCACCACCCGTAACCTCCGACGACTGAGATGCCGCCGGCTGCACCCCGGTTGTTCTCGGCGGCGGAGTCTCTTCCTCTTCAATTGGTAACCGATCATAAACTGCGTTTGCAAAAGAGGCAGCCATCAACACTACCGGACCCGAAGCAATCAACGAACCAGCCACATTCCCTCCTACAACTTGTCCTTGACCCCCGGCTAGATACACCGTCAAACCTCCTGCTCCCGGTGGCGCAGGCGGCGGAAGCGCAGTCCCGGTCAAAGACAGTATCTCAAACCTACCATGCAGAGTAATCACACCTCCACCCGCCGGAGCTGCCGGTTGGCGTATCGTGACGTTAGTGACCGCACCGGTGCCGCTTATAATGCAAACCCCGCAGCCGCGACGAGTTGCATAGGTAGAGACAGCCTCGGAGATGTCCGAACCGGATGTGACTTCAAGAACATGAGATCTAAGGACGTTGGGACTATCCCTGGTTACAATCGTCGGTGGTTTGGGTTTGTTTTTGGAACCAGCAGGACGGCCACGTGGACGGCGTCCGGAGGAAGAGCCAGAGGCGGTGGCTGAGCTAGTTGCCCCACCGGTTGGAGTGGTCTCGGCCTTTGCTTCGTCAGCTTCAGATCTGTTAAGTTCCATGTTATTTTGGTCAGGTGGGCTTCTGGAATCTTCAGGTCTCTGTAGATGCAGTTCTTGCCCTAGAAGAGGGTGCACATAACCAGACATTGCTAACGAAAACAAGAAACTGTGTTTGGATTTGTTCTGTTGTTGAGAGAGACAAAGACAAAGTCGACAGAAAACTTAGTGATGAAGTGGATTGTTGTCACTGAGAGTGTTTCAGAGACTGAGTTTGATTAAACTGACATTAATGCTACAGACAAAACAACAAGACGACAAGAGAGAACAAAACCCTACTGAATGAAATAGTAAAAAGAGAGAGAAGTGTGAAAGAGGGTCGGTGAAATTTGTCTGGACCCCAGATCTAGATCTTCATGTTAATGGAATGAAACAAAGGAGAGAAAGAAGTAAAGCAAGAGCATCAAAACGTTATTTAATCACAGCCCTCTTCTAAATTTATAATAGATGTGCATATATTAGATTATATATTGTACAAAATATCATATAGTATATGTCACATATAAGAGGGTTGGTGTAGTGGCTTTTCCTCGAGTAAAGCAAAGAAAACAAAAATTAGGAAAATGAAGATGTTGACGACTGAAGAAGGGACTGATGGATTCTGTGGGAGACAAAAGAAGGAATCTGGGGAAGGAGATATACGGAGATAGATAGAGAAACTAAAGGAGAGGCCTTTTGTGACGGTGAAGGGATGGTTTGGTGATATGATATGATGATTGTAGATCTCTTTGTTGTTCTCTTCTTTCAAAGCAAAAGAGAAAAAGGAATCGAATGGTAAATTTGTGTGTTATACCAAAGTCAAGTTTTGCTGTTTGATTTCAAGAACCAACCGACCTAACTTTTTTTTGTTTTTGTTTTTTGTCGGTAATAACATAAGGATTGTCCTCTTTTGCATTTCAAGTTCAACTATTACGTTTTAGTATTTTTAACAAAATTTTGATCCGAGCTTTTAAATACTTTTTTGCTCTTACCACCATTAGTCTAAGATATGTGTTGACATGAGAAGAACCAAGTATTTTGAATAAAAAATATAAAAAAAAGTAATCTTTATGACAATTGATTGTATGATTGATCATTTAGAGAAAAAAAAAGAGTAAATAATTATATACAATCTTGAATGAAATAATAGAAGCTAATGGAAAGTGGACCAACAAGAAATATATAAACTATTTTGAATGTTTGGGTACTAGTTATATTTTTCTTATCCTTCGTTGAATCTATAGTCGCAAGAGAACAAGTGTTAAATATTTATGGATTAATATTGTAGTGGGTGGGTAAAGTTAAGTATAAGTTACACGTTTTGGGTATATTTAAGTGTAAAATTAACGGTCACGTGGCTGATCCTCTCAAATTGCATGTATAATCATGTAGGCTTACATGATCGATCATTGAGAAAAAAAAAACTATCGCACCAGATTGATCATTGAGGTCGACGAATAAATTTGGTTTTTAGAAACTTCGACAGTGTAAGTTAATAGAGGGAGAGACTGTTTGTTTGTTGTGCTTTACAGAGTTTCAATTAGCTTCCCTGGCCCTTTCTTTAGTTATGAAAAACTATTGTCGCTGAAATAATTACGCGGTTTCAATTTGACCTTATCATTCTCTCTCTTTTGTGTATCTCTCAAAAACTCTAGTAATGGTGTTTTAAAGATTAACATCATAAAAGTGGTAATATGTTACAAAAAGTTGCAACATTTTGCAGACCTGGAGTAATAGTATTCATCTGAATTGGAGATTATATTGGTACTTTTTCCTAGTTAACCATGCATGCTGATGTAGAAACACTTACGGATAATTTTCGAATATTTTCTTTTGAGTGGTGATGAAGTGATCGGAGGAGCAAAGCTTAGAAAACAATTTGTGTTTGTAATGAGTAGAGGAAGAGAAATGGGGCTTCACCATTGGCTGTTATAAGTGAAAAGAGTGGTGGATTTCACATGATGAGCATTTTTTGCTTTCTTCCTTCTTTTCTTGATTTAATTTACACCTTTTACATTTCTCGAGCCACTCAACAGCATGTCTTCACTTTAATATTTTGCAATGTTTTTAAAATATTAATATTTGCTTAACTTTACAGAAAGGATCTGTTTTGTGTTACTACAACAAACAAAGGAAGCTGAGAATATATATATATTTTGTGCACATGCTTGCCAGTGTACTACTTCGATTTCTACGGCTCATGCTTGGAAAGCAAAATGCTCATCAATCAAATACTTGTTATCAGTTTCATCAAAGAATAGCAAAATCATCATATAATCTCATTATAAGCTTAGCCTCAACATAAGATTTCAATGGCACATATATAATACGCTTGAATAAATATATAAAATATATCATATACAATATATATAGATTCATATAATCTTTGGAATAATCAGAGATCAAGGAGAAGAAGCAGTTTTGTGGTTGAGATAGGCAGAAATGAAATACTCGCGAGGTTGAGTACAATGGTAGTGGCACATCTTCGTGCAAAAGATCTGATCATGAAGCTTAGGCATGCATTTGTTAACGACACAATGTTTGATGCAATGATATATATCCAATGCGTAGCCATGTGTCGACTTCTTTAAAGATATCTCCTCACCGTTTAAGCACCATGTTGCGTTCATCAACATACAAACCACTATCATCAATATCACCACTCTCTCGTTTATTCCCTTTGCACCCATTTTCTTACTTGAACAATTGTTTTTCTTCTTTTTTTTTTTCTTTTTTTTTTTCGTTTTTGTTTTGAAGGGAATATGAATTTGTGAATTCTTTTGAGAGAATATATATACAAGTGTATTCGTAGTATCTAACTTTCTATTTTAAGTAAATTTGTTTTTCGTTTTAGCTGTTTCATGAAGTTTGTTTTTGTGACCAAGTAAGAAATCACTAAGTATAGCGCTTATTTGTTATATAATATCAATAGTTGGACTGTCAACAGCTAATCTCATTTGTTTATAAACTGAGTTGATTTATTCTTTTGCTCTATTTTTGTTGACTCCAGATTAAGTTGTCTACTTGTATGAACCAAATATATAAAATGACTTTAACCCAAAATAAATAAAATAAAATTATATCGTAGTGAATAAGACTAATAAAATTTATCCCTTTAACATTGTTACTTTTTGTTTGTTTGATAAAAATCGCTTTAACAGTGTTTTTGCAGCTTACACTATGTTAGATGCATTGCATTATTTTTTAGATTTATTGTGCATCGGTTAGATGAGAATTTAACTATATAGTCAGTTTATATATGTATGATATACCAGTCTTTTTCGTGTAAGTACTATTCTTTAAAGTTACCCAACGTAAAATTTCATTTAAAGTATGGCCAAAATTTATTCTGGTAGACAGCCAAATCCCCAAAAAAATGTGGACGAAACACAGATTAGTGGATATTTTTCAAACTTATACCGCAAGCAAGGGACTAAGCCAAAATAGGACCAATACATGATTTCAAAACATTGCTTAAGACATACGGAACTTGTGGAGAGCAGTGCTCAGTCCTCACAAGATCCACCAACAAAGGGAAGAAGCTGGACACGTGTCTTTTCAAAGACTCTGCTTCTAATGAACATAAAGCTTCGAGTGACGAAACCAGCAGCGAAGTTCTCGCTGTCGCTTCTTCTACACGATCTGATTCCATCGGAAGAATCCATAGGACTTGTCTTTTATGTTTTTGTTGTTGTTGATGATCTGTGCATTTAAGGTAGATCTTCACAACCTTTGCGCATTCACTGACTAGACGAGACTCGAGATCGAGTTCTTTGGATACGTTCGGATTGCAAGTGACCATGTCTTGAAGGAACGTCATGTAGGATTTGTTAGACTCGTTCTCGAAGTTAAGTAGTTGAGGCTCTGTTAGGTTTAGAACTGAGCATGCTCTCTTGAACTTCCTGCGAAGGACTGTGTCTGTGTTGAGTTGCTGCGCGTGAGACGCGATGCACGAGAAAATGTCTGCGAGGATATCCACGTGTGATGCGGGCAGTGAGAATTGATTTTTTCTGTATAAATCACTCACAACCTGCAAAAGAAACAGAGAAGTCAAAAACAGAGTAACAGGCTTTGAAAAGAAAGAAACAGAGGAGGAGAGAGAGGGGACCTCGACGATTTGAGACAGTACATCAATGTGTTTCTTTGTCCTGGATACAACATACGACATGATGTGAAGACTGTCATCATCGAGATCATCTTTGTTTACGCTTTGACCAGAGACTGTTTCAAAATCTTCTATATCATCCATTGTTCTCAAGACTTTCATAAAACCCGCGAAAGTAAGAGAGGCTGCTTCCTTGAGAGCCAAGAAAATCTCTGTCCATTCATCTTCAGAGACGTTACCAGCTAATCCATCAGCCAAACGAAGCAACACAGAGATTCCGGAGCCTGTAGAGCCTTGAAATGGACTCTTTATGAACCCTATGAGGATTGACAAAACGCCTGGAAGCTGAGACCTCACAGAGCTGAAGAAGTTAACGAGTAGATCAACAAGAAGCTGCAATGCAAGTGTAGATGTCTCAGAGTCCCATGTGGGTTCTTCATTTTCTAGAGAAGCCGAGGATGGTGAATCAACACTTTCTTCGAAGAGCATATCAGTTTTACTACGTATGTTGTTAAAAACCGGGAGAATGATAGAACTAAAGATTCCAGTCCAAAAGGGTCTTGTAAAAAGATGACCATGATCCATCAAAATATTGAAGAATACTTCTATTGAACACTTTCGAATTGCTGGTCTCGGATCTGAGGCTTGCTTAGATAAACCTGAACAGATAAAAATACTCAAATCATTTAGTAAAACAGAGGATACAACTTAGAGTGTTAAGCATAGAAGCCAGATTTGGTTGTAACCTGCAAGCAGAGGAACCCAATAGGATACTTGTTCATCCAGGTCTGTAAAACTATGTGTATCCGACGAATCTTCCTTTAACGCAGAGATAGTATTGTTCTTGATTTTCTCATTCAAGACAAGTCCTCCCTCTGCAAGTTTTGAAGCGCAGAAACGAAGAAACTCTATGGTGTTGAAGCCAATGTCACCTTCAAACTTACTGTTTGTGAAGGTGATGAGACATCTAATGCAGTCTGCGTATACTGTTATCTCTGTTTCGGTTATACAATGAAAATGATCCCGCACGATTTTCTCCATTGTCTCAAAAGCCAAAAGTACAATGTTCTTCCTCTCATCAACCGCTGCAGTAGTAAAAACCTAAACCAACAAGATCATGAGATAACATTTTTCAAAAGATGAATATTGGATTAAGAAATGTGAGTGCGTTACTTACTGTGAAGACATTTTTCCAACCAGACTTCACATTACTAACTCGACTAAGTACCATTTGAGACACACATCGGACTATAAGCTCTCTAATCTCTGCGGAACTGCTTTTCTGCATAACAATGGCGAATGGTCGAAGAAACTCATGCTGGAAATGGTAGTTTGCTAGCTCCTCACG